TTTGAATAATGTTATCTCATGGTCAAGCTTCATTCGCACTATCTCACTGAGACACCTTTAAAAAACAAGGCAGAAATGCATTGTATTTCAGATGAGTAGGGTTGCCAATTAAATTATAAATAATGTTCCATTATTTTTTGTAGTTTAAGATTTTATACATCCTCAAATGGATTTGGCTCCGCATAACAGTGAAAGCGTTGAGTCAATCACTTTGGCAAAAACATATAGTAAAATTGAGGTCATACATTGAGTACTATACGGTGTAAAAACACGAATCCTAAAAAGTTTTGACTATAGAATAGAAAAAAAAACACAACCTTACCTCGAAATTTTACAAGAAAACCGTTGTATTCAATAGGTACTTTACGTATACCAGTGTTTTTTTTAATATCAACTGAACTAAATAGAATCCTCCGTGGCCGAACGGTTACCATGCCGGACTGCCATGCAGAGGTCCCAGGTTCGATTCCCGGGTTAGGAGAAATATTTGTATGGCCTACATTTATTTCTCTCGTGAGTTTGGGTGTAATTTGTGGTTGTCTACGTGTGTGTCCATGGCACCCGCGACACAGGGTATCCCTAGTGCGGGGCTATGTTGAGTGTGTACGTTATAAAAAAAAAAAGAATACGTATACTGTAACGTCCTGCCGCTCGACCCAAGTAACGTATTATTATATTATTATTACGGTAAAAATTAGAATTCGAGTTGAGGTAGCATCAGCTCTTAAGTAACAGTTGCATTGTGCCACTATTGCAAAAAATCTTGAAAAAAATGTGGTTGGTGTTATGGGCAAACCCCAAAGTTTGGACTTTTAACATCTTGTACGATCAAATGAATAAGGTCGATTTTTCGATTGTTTAGAATTATAACAGTGCAGATTTTGAATAAAATTGCAATATGTTTTTAGGACCAAGCAGACACACCCCCAGCAAAAATAGCTAAAATTACAACAGATCAGGTACGTTTATTGTAGAAGACATGGCGAATACAGGCACTACAGTGGTGGCGTTATAGTTCGAATTGTATGTAGTTCTAAATTCAGAATGGCCAATGGTTCAAACTCTGATGAATAAATAAATATGAGTGACTACTTTAAAATTCCAAGCTTCGTGATTGGTTCATTCGAATCTCTATTCGAAACGCCAATGAACGATAGTGACAGTTGTTGACGCCAATGTTAATGACCCTTTAAATTTATTAAGCTATATGGCCGTTGTGTTAAAGTGCAATTTTTGTGCATTTTTTGTATATTGAATTTATAGAGCGCCGGTGGAAACTCAACTGATGCAAGCGACTGCATAAAGAATACAACAGTGAACACGTCAAAGAGTGCCAATGAGAGTACCAAAAGTTCTACCCCTTCAAACGCTTCAAGCGCTGCGAGCGTTCTGCCGCCGGCGCTTGACGCGCAGCTGCAGCGGCTGAGTGCGGCGCTTAGTGGACTCACCTCACAGCGAGCGCGACGAGTTACACGGGACTCCGTTTCAAGGCCTATAGGTAAGAATAATTTATTAGTTTATTTATTGAATCTTTTTGCACAATAATATATGTAATATATGTAATATGTGCAAATGGCGGACTTAATGCCATAAGGCATTCTCTACCAGTCAACCATTGGGCCAAACAGGAAAAAATCATAAGCCTAAATTTTATGGTTAATTTATACAGTATAAAATAAACATAACGCAGCATAAACATACTTAATATACTTATGTAATAAACAATACATATAGTAATATAGTAAACATAACATTAATTAATTAATAATATATAAGTACCCACAGCAACATTATGCGAGTCATCATCTATCAATAATATATTAATTGTAATATTTCTCACAGACATGTAGTTCCGTGTCAGCGACCGAATCCGTGTAACCGAGATTGTTGGTAGGCTTTGAAAGGTGGAGCAGGGTTTGTTTCAAGGGATTAACCGCCTCTCGTTCCGATATTTCTGTAATCCACTATTGATTTTGGACATTTCACGCTGAAACTTGGGCTGAGTTTCATTTTAAACGGTTAGGTGAAGGAGCTACCTAATCGTAATACAAGACAGCGTAGTCGGGTATTTAGTACTAACTGGTACACCAGATGTCGCGACAAGTACCAAATAGCTATTTTTGTAACTAATTTGTTTAACATTGACAAGCTGCAATTTATCAAAGCTACTTACAGGCTTGTCGCTTACCACTAGATTGTCAAAGGTGTTAAATACAATAATAGATTCCAACACAGGAACCCTGTAAGGGCAATACAATGACTAATAATTTTATCTACACACATATCGTAAACCCTCTATGATGTGTCAAAAAACCGCAAATTACGACCGGAATAAAGATAAACTATTTTGTTAGAGAAATTTCTTATCTGAGAAAATATTATGCTTATTAATAACATCAAATTCTATTATTACATTCAAATTTCGAACATATTTGAAAAACAAAACAATTTGATTCGACCTCAATTCTGATATCAGTCGAGATGGAAGTTTTATTCGAAATGAAATGTCAATAGCAAACATTTTTGACAAATTTCACACGTTACGTGATATCGAACGATATGATAGCCGGGCCGACTCTAGTTTGTCTATGAATTAAAAAAAAAACTACGGTTGCGTGACATGCGTGAGAAAAGTTTTAATTTGCCGCCATTTCGCCAGTGGTAACATGCGGTTTCTGAACACATCATAGAGAGCTTAAAATATATGTATAGATAAAGCAGTGTATGTTACTGTACATAATTAGGCATTAAAATACTCGTGTGATGTTTTTAAACCCACACTCGTATTTTAATGCCTTTCATTATGTAACAGTCACATAAACTGCTATAATTAATAATAAAACTAATTCTATCTTCATTAATTATCAAATTCAGCGTTATTAATAGAAAGAGTTTGTTAACTGGTTAACGCTGAAACAATTATCAGACCCTGAATCGGAACCGGGTCCCGAATCTCAACCCAACACAGTCGGATGGGACGACACGACGCCGGGGCAACAGCGTCAACAGAGCCAAGACATCCAGGCCACGGTCCAAGTGCAAACCACACCGCAGGTCAAACGGTTCATGCTATCTTCCAACGTCGATGTAAGTTATGTATTTAATTCCACTTACTGTCACCATAACACAAGTAGTGTAAACCTTATTGTATTGTACGGTGTATGTGCACGGACGCACAAATTCGCATAATCCCGCCGTGAACTCGAATTGCACGACGCGGATTGGACGCGCAAGTCATTATAGAATTGAAGCTCAGTGTTTTAATTATGTAAAATATTTTTCTGTGTCAAATTTGTTTTTTTTTTTTTCAATTTATCAATATAAATTAACCATCTAATAACCAGCCTCAGGATTCCTTTTGAATACGTCACAGCTCACATGACAGTAATTCAAATTTTATTGATATTTTTATTTTACGGTTCTGGTTATAGAAGACAGATCAAAACGCTATTTTAAAACAATAGAGGGGAAAGACATCAGTAAATCAGCATACCAATGCAAGAAAATATAAATCGTGTAATTTTGTAAATGAAGAAATATTAAAAAAATATTTTAAATATAAAACTAAAATATGTAGAATATACTATATCTGTATATTTTAAAATACTATACTATGTGATTTGTTCGTATTTTTTCATATTTTGTTTGTTTTTCATATCTTCCTTTTTGCATTTTTATGTTGTGGCCTTGCAATAAATGTTTTCAGTTCCATTCTATTCTCAAGAACTTGGGATTATGTCATTATTTTAAGGAGGTCAATGCGAAGTTGTCAACTTCCAGTAGAGCGTCACAAACTAGCCGACTAAAACTCTATAAATCTCTGCAACTTCCAGAACCGCGAAGAAATAATAGAAATGATTCAATACCTCGGCGGGGAAGTCTGCGAAGGGACGGAGCTCGACCTGGAAGCCTCGCACTTATTATGCGCTGCCCCTGGCCGAAGTGAGAAGATGCTCGGCTCTATTGCAGCGGGCAGATGGGTGTTGCATCCCGCTTATATTGTTAGAAGTAGAGCTGTAGGCTCTTTCTTATCGGTGAGTTACTTTTTTACTAAGATACGTGGAACCTAACGCACCTCTGCCCCCGTAGCATAAAAACGCAATAAAATTATTATATCTACATTCAGCTGTCAAATTGTAGTGATAAAACCGTCATTTTGAAACTTTATCACAATAGCGCACATGGTGAGCACCATAACGCCATTTTTATCGCACCACTCGCGCGCTGCTACGTCTATATTTCGTTCTGAATGCTGACTTTGAAGTTAGACGTGTAAAATTCCCCTAAAGGCATACAGTAGTTTTGCGTGTACATTTGAGATACAGGACTTACTAGTTTGACCGCAATGGCTTCATCTATTTGAAGATTTGTAATCAGGTTTGTAAGGATGTACTTGTATTATTCATTGAATATAATCAATATATTATTATATTCAGTAAAAAATATAAGTACATCCTTATGGCCTAAACCCTGTCCTTGTGTCCCGTGCTCAGCAAAGGTATATCGAATCGATAGTCACGATAATGTCTTCTCCTATGTTCAAGCAAGGTAATTGTAAAATTATCACGTACCAACTTTAGTAGCAGTAGGGTGAAAGAGTTCGTCCATGCAAGTACTGCCACCTTACCTATGTCTGTCGCCAAACAGAATATCAGCATTACTATAGTCCGGTTTTGAAGGGTAAGGGTGCTGGTGAAATTACAGGCACATGGGACTTGTCAACTTATGTCTCAGGGTGACTGGCGCAGTGGCAGTGCCTCTAAGATCTTTGCGATTTAAAGCTCTTGAGTGGCTCTGCAACTGCTAAGGACAGGCATGTAAGAAGCTTACAATCAGGTGCGCGACTTGTTCGTCCCGTCACTTGATATTATAAAAAAAAATCTTTCTGTTTTCAGGAAGAAGAATTCGAATGGGGCAACCCCAAAGCGACATGTCTACCGCAACTCTCAGGCACTGAGCGTACACTTGCGAACGCTGCTTACCGCTGGCGGTCGACGCGGGCCCAAGGCGCGCCGGGGCCTTTCGCGGGAGTAGTTGCGCTGCTGCATGTACCCGCCGCCAGGAGGCGTCTGTTGGCTAGGCTGGTTACGGCGGGCGACGGACTGGCGCCGGATGACGAGTGAGTACTTCGCACCTAGCTCCATCAAAATGTGATGTTGAAGTCGCTGCCCTAAGATACCTGATCCCATAACCAACTATTTGGTTCAGAGTAGATCTGTGTGAACAGGTGTCAGACAAACTTAAAATTTAATCTGTGAACTATATGTGAGCGGTAAAATTACTTTTCATTACATCTGCACGTAAATAGTATGATTGCGTGCAGGCTAACTGGACCGCGGGCCTTATTTCTTCTCATTACAGCCATGGTCTGTAATCTTCTTATATTTATTTTAACGGCTATTTACATAATATAAACTATAGTCTGTTTTTTTTGAAGGCGGAGTAAATTACATTTGAAGGATTGCCAGTTTCATACAATTTTAAATAGTTATGTAGTTGTTGTCGATAGTTTTATCGATAACATGTGAAAGAAGATTAAAATTTGCCAAAAATGACTGAATTGTGAATGTTACGACGTTCTAATGACTACTAATTGCGTTTGTTTATTCATCTGGGCTGTTTTGGAATCCTTGCAGCGGTGCCAAGTGGACTATCGTTACATCGAAGTGCTGAGATGTCTGTATAACGCCGCCACTATGAGTGTCCAAGTGCAGGACCAGCAGTCTAAACCCATCCAATTACGTAGAGGAGTGAGACAGGGGGATGTCATATCCCCGAAACTGTTCACAGCCGCATTGTAGGATATGTTTAAGAGGCTGGACTGGAAAAGTATGGGCATTAACATAAACGGCGAGTACTCCTCACACTTACGATTTGCAGATGAGATAGTCCTAATGGCGGAGTCGCTGGACGACCTACAACAAATGCTGGACGGCCTAGTGTCCGCCTCGCGACGTATTGGTGTCGGCATGAACTTGGACAAGACCAAAGTCACGAAAAATGGTCACATTTATCCGAGACCCATAGTCGTAAATGACCACCTTGAAGTTGTTGCCGAATACACTTACCTCGGGCAGATTCTGCAGTTAGGTAGAAACAATTTCGAGAAGGAAGCCAGGAGGAGAATTCAGCTTGGATGGGCAGCATTTGGGAAGCTATGCCGAGTCTTCTCGTCACCTATACCACAAAGTCTGAAAACAAAGGTTTTCAACCAGTGCATCCTGCCTGTTATGATTTACTGAGCCGAGGCGTGGACACTCACGATACAGCTAGTCCACCAATTTAAAGTCGCTCAGCGAGCTATGGAACGGGCCATTCTCGGAGTTTCTCTGAAGGATAAAATTCGTAATGAGGTTATCCGACAGAGAACTAAGGTCACCGACATAGCTCGTGCAATAAGCAAGCTGAAGTGGCAGTGGGCTGGCCATATCTATCGAAAAACCGATAACCGATGGGGAAAATGAGCTCTAGAGTGGAGACCGCGACTCGGCAAACGTAGTGTAGGACGCCCTCCGGTCAGGTGGAGCGTCACTCCAACTGACTGGAGGGCGTCACTCCACACCTGCGAAAGGTTGCTGGCGGGAAATGGATGCGACAAGCTGAAGACCGGGCGAAACGGCGCACATTGGGGGAGACCCATGTCCAGCAGTGGACTGCGATAGGCTGATGATGATGATCCTGATTGTTTATTCTTATTTTGACAGTTGGCCTCCTAGTATCGAGACCAATTTTTATTCATATACATTTTAACAAGAAAAGCCGGATTTGATTGTCTAAATTGAATTGAAATAAAAGACTAAATATGTCTCCTCTTTATATTTTTCATAAACAGATAGAGTTCTAAATACAGCGTAGTGTAGTGTATTTATGTATGACCGTACACAATATGACAATTGAAATGAACTTGTACTCAGTAATTGGATGAATAATGGGTCGAAGATGATTCAAATGAAACAAGTTCGGCTATTTATTCCATAAGCGTGACCAATATATCGATAGTCGATATAATATTTATCGACTGCAACCACTAGCTGTTCGCAAGCGTGTCACACTTTTGCGCAATAAACTGTCATTTTACTCCGTCTTCAAAAAAGACAGACTATACTTCCAGGCCTTATTGATCAGCGCCATTTAGATATAAGACGGAATTTTGACCTTTTTCAGAGTTATGTTTTGTCCATGGTCGATATCAATTGAATTAACCCAAACACAATTGCAACCGTCTTTCGACTTATCCGTAGAACAAATATCTATGTGCAAGACTACTTGTTCTCAGGACATAATACTTTTCGTTCCTTCTTCGTTGCTGTGGACGTCAGATAGACCGTTGTTCGATTTTATATTTCCGAAACGAAATATATATCTATATAAATTCTCAAAACTCTTTTAAATAGGCCTTAGTTTGAATAACGAAATTATTCTTGTAACGTACTTATTCTGTTTTCGCTATGTACTCACATCGGACTCTGTTCTTCGGATGAGTCGATACTTTACGGTCAATGGTCGAAAAAAGGTGTTCCACATATACATTTGATATTCATACATGTATAGATATAGCTACAAGGAGTGATATAGAGTTGTTAAAACTACCAAATGTTATTTAATTCCGTTCCCGGATTTCCGGATGAAAGAAACTCCTGTCTTTATTCTATTTATGAAGATAAATAGCCGTTACATGGGTAAGACCGTCAAAAATGGCACATTTCCGTCTTAAATAATGTCCTAAAATTCCCCTCTTAAATAAATTTTTTTTTTTTTTTTTCTTAAGTTCTATTAGCTAATTTCGCCGTGCCGTCAATATGCGGTATGTAAAGCTAGAGAGGGGCGGAGAGTGACCATTCTCGTTACCTTTTTATTTTACGTTTTAGTAAAAGGTCAGTAGTACTGCATTTTTTACATGGCAACATTAGAATTACTTTACAATCCTACTTCGACTACCTACGTCAGTAGTTTTGTCCTAGACGATGCAGTAAAACCATTTCCTCAAATCCACAGTAATTAATTAATATTTGGTGGTTTTAATAACTCTATGTCATTGTCATGTCATACATGTCTTGAAATAGTATTCCGCATTAGGTGGGACAGAGGCTGTTCGCTCAAGTATCGGAGATGGGCTCATGGCTCTCCAATAAAAGTTGTCAAAGATTTTGGTCAGGTTCTACCAGAACCGAAAGTGTTCTGATATGACGAATTTAAGATGGCCGTCATACGAAATTGTGACTGTGAAAAAATTCTGAATCTTCGCAGCTGTCAATGATATACGACTGGTTTATTCTGAGATATTCAAGGATACAACTTGACGCGATCACACCAACTACCCCTACATGTAACTAAACTAGAGCTATCAATAACCTTCCTCCCTTCCATTCAAACTCAACCAAAGAGGATTCTCTACTGAAATATGAAGTCTGACTCCAAACCTGTTACACAAGTCTCAAAGAAAACCCTCGCGCAACGCGCGCCATCTAGTCTATGTATATATATTATAATTGTTACTCTTCTCAATTACAGACCACCCTACAACAACGAGGACATAACAGTATGCTTCGCAGACATCAAACGTTACCAACTTTCGGACCGCGACGCCTCCTGGTTAAAGTCTCGAAGTATACCCGTATGCGCTCCAGTCTTGCTTAGCTCTTATCTAACCGACGATGTACCACCTTCGCCGGAGCAACATTGCTTGCCTGATTATAGACCACGTTGATTTTGCTAGCTATTGTCGAACATTATAGTTCTTTTCCGCTTTATATACATAAAGTTAAGCGACAGCTGCTAGCTTGAAACAGCTCTAGCATTGATATTGTCGTACGGCTCAGTGTTGTCATTTAAACGGCTGTTTTTGTTTTCATTATAAATCATTTCAGTTGGGTCGTCGGTAGTGTCAATGGCAGGATTGTGTGTTTGGTATTCTAGTAGTTGCTTGTCAATCTAGCTATCGAGCTACTATTCAACCGCAATTGCATTTTTTTTGTATTCTGATCTTCGGTAGCGATGCAATGACACGTCGATTGCGCAGTGTACTAATATTATGTATTTTTGAAAACTAAATTGCTGATTAAACGAAATGAAAATTTGGATGTGCGTAGTAATTTTTAATTTCCATGATAGACAACGACGAGAAGAAGAGAAGAGTCTTAGTTTTTTTCTATTATATTAAGTGACGGGACGAACAAGTCGCGCGCCTGACGGTAAGCTACACGCCTGTCTATAATAGTTGCAGTGCCACTCAGAGTTTTAAATCCCAAAGATCTGAGGGGCACTACCACTGCGCCCGTCACCCTGAGACGTAAAAGTTCACAAGTCCCATGTGCCTTTAATTTCACCAGCACCCTTACCCTTCTAAACCGGAACGCAGTAATGCTAATATTCCTGCTTGGTGGCAGAAATAGGTAAGGTGGCAGTACTTCCCTGGACGAACTCTTTCACAAGGAGCTCTGCTGCTGCTAAAGCTGCTAAGGTGTGCATGTGGAGGGATATAAGGGGAAAGGAATGCCAAAGAAAAGATGGATGGATTGTGTGAAAGATGCTATGGATAAGAAAAGTATGAGTATGGAAATGACGGCTAATAGGGGAGAGTGGAAGAAAAATGCATGTTGTGCCGACCAACCTAGCGTGGGATAAGGACAAGAAAATGAAGAAGTTTTAGTAAGGGCGCGTTCCCATTATGTCGTAAAAGTTTTTTTTATCATTGGACGACTGTCGCGTCTAGCCTGTTCCCATATCACGATTATTTGTCGTGATTGTGTCGTGGACGTCTATGTTATCGATTAACCGCTGTCGTGTCTAGCTGTTCCCACTAGATCACGGCAACCGTCTTGTAGATTGCACGACAGAATCGTTTGAAGTTGCGATTATCTGTCGTCACATTTTTATCGTGATGTTTTATTTATCGTCCTACAGCTGTCGTTCTAGCTTTTCCCATTGTCAGGAATGTCTCTCGTCGTAACGATAAAAAACTCGTGAACGAGACATAATGGTGTTGTGCTGTATGTGAAAAATGTTGAGTGTGTGCGTTATTATTATTATTACCTCATTTAAAATCAACATACAAGCTACGACACTTTAAACTGCACGACGATCTGTCGTCACGACATAATGGGAACGCGCCCTAAGACAACTTCGATCGTTAGTAATTGATTGAATGAATGAATGCCATCACCGCCATTCCACCGACTTTCTATTGAGAATGGTTATAAATTTGACGAAAATTATAAATAGTAGTTCAAATTTCAACGGTATTCTACCTTTGCGATAATGTCATTGCATTAATAATGCCACCCCGGACATTGAGTCTACGTTTTTAGCTGGCAGCTTGACACTGTATAGTGTCCACGCACACCGCGTGTACGGTGTTTGTGACGCGTTAATGGCATCAGTGACGCTATGAAGGAGCATTACGATAATGCACTAATGATAATCTCTGAAAGAAATCCTACAATTTGTAGGGTACAAACACAGATGCGTTTTGTCAAATAGCAACTTGTATGTTATTATTATTTCCTTTATGGCGACCACTAGGCTTGTGCCTGTGTCAGTTTTATAAGAATAATACACAAAATTATGGCGATCATCGCCAGTGTTAGTTTTTAGTTGGATGTGTGTAAAAAGCACAGCAGTAAAAACACATCACAGAAAAACGTCAACTGAATTTATGGTTTATGTTGTTGTTGCCCATACGTTCTGTTAAGTCGCTCACTGACAACCTTGACAAGTTGTAAATAATGATTGTAAACGGTCCACCTCCTCCCGCGTAGAGGCTACCTACGTGACACAAGAAAGCGACTAATAAATAAAAAGATTGTAAACGGTGCTTATGATTATAACTAATATTTTATTATATTATGGTGTTTTATTTTATCGAATCTCTAATATTTATAGATGGATGGATAAAACGTTTATTCAACACTAACACGCATCTTTCACACACGTACACAACTGTTTATCGTAACCAGTTATGAAACGACGATTATTTTTCTTTCTTTCGTAACTGGTTATTAAATACCATCGAGTGAATACTTTAGATATAGACAAACGTTCACATATTACAACTTAAACTATCTATCGTACGTGTACAGTTGCGATCTATCGGCCACCAGCTTTCCATAATATCGACAACTTTCTTACGTCACTAAATGACACATTACACTCGTTGAACGGGTACAAAAATGTATACTTAATGGGGATATTAATATAAATATATTAGAAAGTAGTACCCATTTTAACGATTATCAAAATTTGTTGAGTCTTCACGGGCTTCTCCCGAGGGATTTTTTACGAAAATATTTTTTTAAATTTTAATTGAATAAAAAAATTTAAATTAATAATTATTTATCATTTTATTTACAATGATTTCTAGTTATATTTATTAAATGTATTTGTAATATAATTACAAATACACTATTGGTCGAGGGCTTCATGTGCGGATGGCGGTGACGCCACCAGTGGACATCGAACCTAACACTTTATACATGCTTCTTAACGTATTACTCACGTATTTAAGTTGAATTTTTGCTCGACAAGTTTCGAACCTATTCGTGGTTCTTAATCATGAGTACTGAGTGATCGGGCTACCAGGGCTTTGGGGCGCAGTTTCCGTCGAGCCGCGGAATCTCATGATCTAAGGCCACTTATTTGTTCGAAACATGTTGAGCAAAAATTCGACTTAAACACATGAGTTATCCGTTATTTTAGTAAATATGTCTGAGTCTCACGGTGGTTTTCTATTTAAAAATACTTCTTAACCATGAGTTTCATACACCGATCGTCGTCTCTCGGGTACTTGAGACCTGCGTCGGCTAGCTCCCGTAGGGTAAGGCTTAGGACTTCGGTGAAGCCGGCTCGGGCCGCACTCTTCTGGGCCGCAATTCCAGTGAACAGCGTTGATGTAGATGATATTCCTTGGGATTTGCACAAGGGCTCTCTGTAATATAAAAAGTTAACACTTTTGTGACCTAATCGATAACTCTAATGAACGCTATGCCACTTAATTTTTATATTTGTTCTGTTTTAATTTTGCTTTTGTTTCTTTGTTTGTCATACATTTTTTCTGAGTGTTCGATCTTTGTATTAATAGTTATAACAAACTAGTGGAGTAATTTCACATACAAGTAATTGAATATTAATTCAATAAAAATTTAAATACAATGAATAGCGACATCCCTAGCCGGGGCTGGTAGCTGTAAAGGTATCTAACTGGGTGACGAAATATCATAGATTTTTCATAGATGGCACTACGGCTAAAAAGGCGTTGAAAAGCCAAATATGACGCAAGCACATATAAAAATTCGTGAGGTCTGCTGGTTCGTTCCGTGGCTTAGTTGGTATAGCGTCTGGCACGGTATGCTAGAAGACGTTGGTTCGAATCTGGCCGGATCGAAGGAATTTTTTCTGAATGTTCGATCATTGTATTAATAATTATAACAGACTAGTAGAGTAATTTCATATAAAAGTAATTGAACATGCGTTCAATAAAAATTTTAACACAGAATTCTTTTATTTCTTTTTGAAGATTATTTTATACAAAATTCAGGGAGCATATGTAATATTAGTAAATAAATACACCAAACAATAAAGTTTGCGTGGTCATTGGAAGTATCATAATGAAGGACTTTTTTAAAACACCAAGTGACGAGACGAATGAGTTGTGCCTGATGGCAACGATTCGAACTAACGACCGTGTCAGGCGCTTTGCTAACTAAACCACGGAAAGAACCAGCAGACCTCGCTCTAATTTTTACTATGCGCTTGTTGTCGGATCTTTGTTTTTGGTTTTAACGATTTTTTTATATGTATTTAGATATACAATAGAAAATCCACAGATATCAAAATATTTAAGGAATAGTTACTTTAGTAAAAACCAGTTATTAAATCGATTACTGTTATGAATTTAAAATTTTTTAACTATGAAATGTACTTGATTGAGCTATGAATTGGTATTAGAAAATGAACTAGGTGACACGACCAGTACTTAGACCCGAAAATTAAAAATGCTACTGTTTTAAATATTTAAACCAGCAAGTACTTAGTATCTATTTAAAATGTGATATTGAAAGGAACCTACCGCGCAGCCAACAACCTGGCTGCAAGTTTAGCACCTCTGTAGTCTCTCCTCACCACTAAGCCAACGGCGTAAAGCACTTTATCAGTTTTCAAATATTCGAAAGCATTTACTTTCGAATTGAAGTAAGCTAAAGTTTCGTTAACGTTACTCCACGCTTGTCCTTCTACCTGAAATTGTTAGAAAGGATTAATTTATCAAATGTCCATCATATCAGCCGGATGATGTCCAGTGCTGAACATAGGCCTCCCCCAAAGATTGCTAGACTATCCGGTCAGGCGCAACGTGCATCCATCGGTTTCCTGTCGCCCTTACCACGTTTTCCGTCCATTTAGTAGGGGGCCGTCCCACTGAACGTCTTCCGGTTCGTGGTCTCCAGTTCAACGAGCTGTGTGCCCTTTTTTTTTTTTTTTTGTCGGGGGGGAAATCTTTATGGATACCCCTGAGCCCAGGGAGACTCAGGGGTTATGTGGGGACTCTCCCTCCAGGCTGGAGGGCAAGAGCTATGTGCCCTGCCCACTGCCACTTCAACTTGCTAATCCTTCGAACTATGTCGGTAACTTTCGTTCATCTACGGATCTCCTCATTTCTGATTCGATCACGTAGAGAAATGCCGAGCATTGCTCGCTCCTTAGCTCGTTGAGTGGCTTTGGACTTTTTTGTCAGACTCATAACAAGTGACCACGTCTCAGAGCCGTAGGTCATCGCTGGCAACAGGTACATACCTACTGCTCGGAAGATTTTTGTCTTTAAGGACAGCGGTATTGCGAACGATAAGTTGTCCCGGAGCTTCCCGAAAGCTGCCGTTTTACAGTACGTAAAAACGTTTTACAGTAAGCATGCATATTTTCACTTGCAACTTTCGTATGAAGCATCGAGGTATTCTAACTTTCAATTTTCGTTATATATAACTATACTTTTATATAACTATGTTTATAAGTATACTTCATGATCACAAAGTTTGTCGAAAAATATTAAGAAAATAGATTGTAGGTACTTTACAAGGTCTAAGGTTATTTACAATATCACGACTGAATGTTTCTTACCAAATCAGGTATTTCCTCCTTTTCATCAGCAAGCTTTACGTAACAGCAATTTAGAGCTGCCAATGTTCTCTTTCCTTCTTTGAGGTGGTAGCATGCGAGGCTCATGCGCTTTGATAGATGATGCCTCCAAAATTTTTTCATATTTTCTTTGCTTGTTTCTTCTTTTGCTACTCCTAATATACGATCATTTTTAGTCACCAACTGTGTTTACCGTGCTATTTACTGCTATGATTTTCTCTAAATGGTAACGCTTTAGCAGAGTACGCAATTATGGCAGTATTCATTTTCTATGATAATAATTATCATGATAATTGAAACAGTGAAAGTGGAATATATATTATTGAAAACTTTCTACGCACTTCCCGATTTTTTTATTATGTCACGGTGAGGAACAAACCGTGCGTCTGATGGTAAGCGGCACGCCTATTCATTACAGCTGCAATGCCACTCAGAACTTTAAATAGCAAAGATCTGAGAGTCACTGCCACTGCGCGACTTAGACTGAGACATGAAGTTGACAAGCTCCATGTGCCTGTAATTTCATCAGAATCATTACCCTTCAAATCCGAAACGAAGTAGTTGTACTGCGTTCCGGCCTTGAAGCATAAGGTTACGCTTCTTGTAAATTTCGTTTTTACCAAAACACACCAAAACTTACTTGGTAAAGTTTGATTCAATCAAATAAATATATAAATAAACCTCGCTACCATTGGTCACTATCTTGTAAATTAAATTCTTGATGCTTACCACTAAGCTGGCTCATGACCGAATCAGGCAATAAATGTTCCACCATCAACTTCAAGGCCTCTTCGTCATCTTCAGGAGGTAGGTCTTGGATCACCCAGTTTGCTCCATCGGACTCCCATTCGTCGTAGATTTGGGGACACGACGAATCCCATACTCTTTGGAACGGCATGGCCTTTTAGGAACTAGGAATTAGGAGAAAGGTGTGATGATCAATCTGTATTTAGCAACAGCTGTTAATAACCAGCAGTGATTCAGGGCTAGATTATCGTGATGACCAAAACACTGCAAGGCTCAGTACAGTGTTTTGTAATTTCATAGCAACAGGAATCTGTAGGCTGTTTTAAAGTGAAACGAAATTTATTAGTTTTTCAATACAAATAGCTTATTTTCCACAGTAAAATTATAATGGCTAGATAGATTCTTTAATCAATCTAACAGTTCAATCGCGAACAGAGGTGTATTCAACCAATTTATCCTTTTTTATTGTACCTACGATTTGCAAGTTACCTACCTATACCTACCAGGGAACTCAATTTGAAACATTTATATATTCCAAGTATACATTTTGGCCGATGAAACCTTTTACGAAGGAGGCGAAGTTGGCTTGATTCTAGGCGCGGAAATATTCTATGACCTTCTTTGTAGTGGCCAACATCGATTACCAATTTTACAAAATACCCGGCTCGGCTGGGTAGTCTCGGGTTCTGTCCATGTCGCAGCGGACAGAAAACCGAAAACTGTGAGGTGTAACTTCACTCAAACCAATATATTAAATTTTTTAGCCTGCGATATCACCGCAAAAACTCCAGATGATGATATAACCCAGTGTGAGAAGGTATTCTGCAACCACTCACTCACCTCTGATGGAAATTTTGTGGTCACTGTCCCACTAAAATAACCGATTACAGCGTTGGGACAGTCGAAACCTATTGTCTATAAACGTTTTAAATCTTTAGAAACCAAATTTGATCGAAACCCCGAGTTTAAGGCAATATATATTTTCTTTATGACAGAGTTAGAACAGGCAGGGCATATGATTAAACGAAATTCTAATAAACCCTGTAATTAACTACCCCACCATGCGGTGGTTAATTTACAAAAAGAAACAACCCCGCTCAGGGTTGTTGTGAATGCATCATATAAAATCCGCTCTGGTAAATCCCTAAACGATATTCAATACAAAGGTGCAGTGTTACAGCATGAGTTGGTGAATATTTTTCTACGATTTCGAAAACATAAATTTGTTGTAAGCGCTGATATAGAAAAAATGTATCGTATGATTTCTATCAACCGTAACCAGCACAATTTACATACTGTGGCGAGAGAGCCCGACACACTCATTGTCTACTTCACATTGACTACACTCAGTTTTGCCTTGAAGTGTGCACCCTAAATTGCCACCCGTTGTTTATTACAACTCGCACAAGAGTATCAAAACCTCTACGAGTGATGAACCACTGAAAAGAAATATATTATCTAATGCCTCTGCAATATTCGACCCGCTAAGCCTAATAGCATCAATTTTGATAACCGCAAAATGCTTTAAACAACGCTTATGTCAATCAAAAACAAGTTGGGACGAAAAACTTGATGATTTATGCAACGAATGGCAAATTTTCTATAAAGGGTTATGTTCTATAACTTCTTTAAAATTTCCTAGACATGTTCTCATAGACGATTGTGTAACAATAGAACTGCACGGCTTTGCAGACAGTCCAATGGCCGCATATGGCTCAGCTGTCTACCTGAGGTCTATGAACGCCCAGGGAGCTATCATAGTACATTTATTATGTGCAAAATCACGGGTAGCAAAAAAGGAAACTATACCGAGACTCGAGTTACAAGCAGCTCACTTGTGAGCCAATCAAATTAATAAAATAACTTGCTTGCTACAACAAACAAAAGCATAACAATACCTATGGTCGGAATCGAATGTTGTATTGGCATGGATAAAACAAACACAACCGAACAAACTAAACTCTTTTATAAACAATTGGATAACCAATATACTATACACAATATATTGTCATAGCATCGTGAGCGTCTGCTAACACTACGCCGCTGCGACACTGTATCGCGGTGTCTTACGTCAGTTGCCTAGTAAACTAGACAAACCACCCAGTTCTGTGGCCGCTCGCTAGATGGCGCTAGTCGAATAATCGATTATAATGTATATCCAGATCGCCAGAGGGCGCCTTGCACTAGTATATAAGTAAAATTGTAAAACTTGCTCACTCTCTTATCCATCATCTCAACGCGAAACATACAAGCCACAGCCTGCGTTTTCGTTTACCACGTACCACGGTTTAACACAGGCGGTAGGTACTTACCTTGACCGAGGAAATGAAAAAAATATTAAAATGTTACTGATTGTGAACTTTTTGAGCACACTACTCATATCAATACTACTTTAAGAAGAATAATATAAAATTTCATGTATTACTACATAACTATTATATCACCATTTATCTTATCAATAGGATAAGATTCACTAAAGTCGGACCAACAAGTGTTTCATAGATAGAGATTCAATTTAACAACCTTGGTGGCACTATGCGCACATCGTGAGGAGGTTAGGATGTCCGGAAGGACCAATTTACTATATAGGTACTTGTGTGTGCTGAGAGCATTACCCCTGGAGTACTCCTTACGTTTATTCTCATAATATCGACGAAGCAAAGAGTTACCGGCTATCTATAAAATCGCGATTTTAAAGCAGAGCGTTTTGAAAGTAAAAAACTTGATATTTTCTTATGTAACAGACGGAATTAGCTGAAATTTTGACCAAAAAGCTAATATCTGAAGGATATTCAGAATATAATATATATTAATTTCTGAAGTTCTTACTTACTTTCAATATTATTTAAAAGCGATCAACAAACGTTTGAATCACTTCAGTTCTAAAAATGGAGGAAAATTAAAAAATATGTAAATCAGCCACTTAATTTATTAAAATGAAATATTTAAGACTATTATTTAAAAAATTTAATGTCTATGCCTTAACACTATTGAGCGAAAAAAAATCGACCATGAAAACGAAGAAATGTATTAATGTATTGACTGTCGAGTGTTTTAAAATCAAAGCACATATTTAAGCATACTTCTTAACCATGATCTTCATACACCGATCGTCTCTTGGATAGTTGAGACCGGCGTCGGCTAGCTCCCCCAAAGTGACGCTTAGAGCTTCGGTGAACCCCGCTCGGGCCGCGCTCTTCTGCGACCTAACTCCAGTGAACAACGTTGACGTACATGTGATGCCCAGATACTTGCACAAGGGCTCTCTGTAAGGTACATTAAGTAGGTAGAAAAGAGATTTCTTTTTTAAAATATAATTAAGTCACGGAACAAACAAGTTTTGCGCCTGTTGGTAAGCTACACGCCTGTCTGTAACTGTGACACTCAGAGCTTTAAACCGGAAAGATCTGAGGTGCACTGCCACAGCGCCCGTCACCCTGAGACATAAGTTGACAAGTCCCATGTGCCTAATTTCACCAGCACCCTTACCCTTCAAAACCGGAACACAGTAATGCTGATATTACTGCTTGGCGGCAAAAATAGGTCAGGTGGTAGTACTTCCCTGGACGAACTCTTTCACAAGGAGCTCTACTGCTACTTGATATTATTCTGATCTAGTGAAGGTAAAAACAAAGCAGTAAGCGTAATTGAAGAACGCTAGCCGATTTTCAAGGTTCTGGAGTTCATATTCTGAGAGGAGTTTGCACTATTCAGATTTTACGAATCTTGTTTGCTAATTAGGTATCTCGCACTTTGAAAAGTGAAGCAAAAGTTTGTGATGAAACTGCATAGACACTGTGCTATTTAGTTTCACTATCACCGTTCCTCTTTCGGTGGACTAGAAAGTCTGGAACACTCCAACCTTATATCGTTGACCTATCACCTAAGTCAAAGTCAGATATTTATTTCATAGGTAAGCAAATTACTTGAAATCGTGATACTGATTGAACTCTACTGCTCATTCGTAAGAAAGATTCCCCTGACAAGAATGAGCAAGAAACTAACCTATTCGTAGGAAGCGGTGTGCACGAAAGGAACCTCGGTGATTACCTTACGCCGATTGGCGCTAGGTACCGGAAGAGTTTTGTTTCCTCTTATCTAATGTACATAGGTAGAGAAATGGAATGTGCTAGGGCACCTGTTTCCCGAAACGTAAAGTTTAGATCTATTCAAGGTTACATTGAGCAGGCCGTTCACTGAAGCCTTCGAAGACTTGACAAATCATCAATGGGCATTGGGTCACAGTGATGGTCTATCGCCTAAAATCGTCTATATAAATGACAAGCGTGGTATACTGCAGGACGCATAGGGGTTTACAGTTACAGATGACCCAGATCGTATTTAATAGTATTCTATTGGGCCTGACAGCAGCATATCTTTCGATTGTTGATGACTCAGAGTACTTTGAAGTCGTCGTTCGTCTCGTGTCGATGGCTTTCAACTATAAAGCTAGCAGTCGTGGTGAAAGGGTTTGTCGATCGGTGTAGGGCACAGAATCTATAGTGTAAGGTACTCGCCGATTGTTGCCTAAAGAAAGGGTAGGGTCAGTGCCCTCACTTAGGTATCCACTATTTGTACTAAAAAGTGCAATGATGCAAACTATTAGTCATGGACTTATACATCTATTAGTACACACAAGAGCGCTTTCAAAGTGAACCACCTTATGTTCGGAGTCAAGGTTGCCCCAAAATTATGGCAAAAGTTTATGGACCGGTTGTGAAGTTTATGAAAAGTTTATGATGACATAATTTTCCAAGGTGCAACAGCAGAACAATTATAAGAGTTGATGTTTGGGAGACCAATTAGGACCAACGTACACGCGTTAATTGGTAAACCAACGACGATCACATCTCAACCTCTCTAATAATTGTTCTGATGTTGTACCTTGGATAATTATGTAATCAAAGAAACATTTTGTCCCGAGTATACCCTGTAGTACACGGTCCATAATCTTTTTGCCATAAATTTGGCTATACAAATAGTGGTTATCTAACTGAGAGCATCGACTGTACATCGAACGGGTAGACTCTTTTCGTGCACCCTACACTTAGAAGTGGTTGTGAGCTACCTACTCTGCCAAGTTTAATTTTGATATTCGTCAATTTGTAGAATTTCAATTCAGAGCAGATAAACTGGATTTTTTTTAATGTAATTTTTTTCCAAATTGCCATAATCTACGAAACATATGTTCTTAGTCAATTCTTTGTGATATTAAACGGAAACCTACCGAGCTGCCAACAATCTGGCCCCAAGGTTAGCACCTCTGTAGTCTCTCCTCACCACCAAGCCAACAGCATAGAGTAGTTTGTCAGTTTCCAAATATTTGAAAGCATTTAATTTCGAATCGATGTAAACTAAAGTCTCAGCAACGTTACGCCACGCTGCTCCGTCTACCTGAAAGTGATAGAACGGATTATACTAAATATTGATGTGATGCACATGTTGATACCGCTATAAAGTGGAATTCTTATTTAGTTTCTGCGGTATTGTAGAGATTAACGCTAATCCTTGCTAACGACGACTTTTATTCATTAATTTTATTTCATTGACTAGTCTATGCAAATGCGTTGCCGGTCCTAGAACAAGTCGGGGATACTGAAGAGCCGCGTAAGTAGCTTAAGGCGCGTATCTACATGAAACCAAATTTTACAGGAGCAGGTTTTAACGTTATTACTTCGTTATTTCAATTGCTACTACTTTCATTTTTACACAGTAAGCATTAATTTATGTTGGCTACAGACTGCTAACAATAGATTCTTGTTAATTTTGTGAATTTACTTGCCACGTCATGTACGCGGACCTGATTTGGATAATCAAAGGAATACTGTTATTCACCGATTTCTGCCTTTCCGTTAGTCAATCGCAACTGGCGTCAAGAAGGCGGGTTCTAATCATATCACTACGTGCAATAACATGCAAAGCTCAAATTGGCTACATGTATCAGATACGCGGAAATATTCAATGCTAGTTACGCGGAATTGCACTATCCCCGACGGATAACCTATCACAAAGTCGAATTTTTTTTGTCCGAACAGAATCATAACGAAACAGTTGTTCTTTCAGGATATGTTGAATGTTTATCGCAAAGACACGATTAGGTTCGGTTAGATTAGGTTAAGTTAGTTTTAAAAGTAAAAAAAACATTTTCCTCTCAAAATTACTTTCGAGTTTATGAAATTTCGACCAAACGTTATTTCTGGAAAATGTCATTTCGGACTACTGATAGGTAACACCCCGACGATGTGGTACTTTCAAGGTTGATTTACAATAATACTTGTCAATTTTACTTACCATACCCGGTATATTCTCCGAGATTATGCTGATGAAACCATCAGCAAGTATTACGTAGCAGCAGTTAAGAGCTGCCAAAGTTCGCCTTCCTTCTTTGAGGTGGTAGCAGGCGAGAGTCATGCGCTTTGATAGATGATGTTTCCAAAATCTTTGCATGTTTTGTTTGCTTGCTTTTTCTTCTGATACTCCTAATAATCGATAACGTTTAGTTATTACTGATCTTGTACGTCCCACTGCTTGCTATCGCCATGGATTTTTCTAAAGCGGGGTATCTCATTGCGTGGTAGATACCACACTAGCTTATGCTTAGAAACTTCATATTTGTCTTGTTGTCTCAACTGTTTTCGACGTCCGATTTCCGTATAATGTAGTAAGAGCTTACTGTAGACAATTTGTAATCTTACTTCCTGGTGCTTTGAAAGCACTCTGACGTGCAAGTATTTACCGTGATCAAAAACTGCAACATTTGCAAATAAATCTATCGCCACCTTTAAAATATTGTCTCGTCACTTACCACTAAGCCTGAACAAAGTTTCTTCATCAGGCAATAAGTTTTCCATCATTAACTTCAAGGCCTCATCGTCATCTTCAGGAAGTAGATCCTGGATCACCCAGCTTGCTTCGTCTGACTCCCATTTATCGTAGACTTGAGGACACGACGAGTCCCACATTCTTTGGAATGGCATTGCCTTTTAAGAACTGGTAGTATGGAGAACAGTGTGTCGATTAATCCGTATATAACAACGAAACTAACGAAAGAAATTCTTTCTAGTCTGCCGCATAAGTGATAATGAGGGAAAGCATACAAAACAACGACCTAATTCGCTTTTCTTTTTCGTTTGTTTACCTATATATTCTTGCACTTAAGCTGGTGGTTGTTATTTCAACAGTTTTAAATGGATTCGGATTCTCTAGATACAGCACAACCGTAATACTCTTGCAAAACTACTGTGTTTTCATAATGTTATATCATCACAATGTGCTTACTATTTTTCTTATTCATTTGATAAGATTCATGATGCACAAGTGATCATATGTCCAAACTAATTTTATCACAATGACATTCACAAAAACAAAACGATCTGCATGAAACAAATTATGTAACCTCCTACGTATTCTATATATTATAATATAAAGGAGTAGGGTCCGGATCAATTCATTGGTAGATGTGCTCACAGCGAAAACTGTATGTTCTAGAAACTTGAAAACTTGAGGGTACCTATGTTACTTTTATTTACAATAGGCATACTAAGAACAGATTTTTCGAAATTCAACCCCAAACAAAATGAAAAAACGGTGGAAAATGCTTGTATGAAAAATCATGTTCCTTGAACTTGCTAAGATGAAACTTAATATAAATATTCTGTAATGCAAGTAGAGCTCCTTGTGAAAGAGTTCGTCCAGGGGAGTACTGCCATCTTACATATTTCTGCCGCCAAGCAGTAATGTTAGCATTACTGCATTCCGGTTTAGAAGGGTAAGGGTGATGGTGAAATTACAGGCACATGGGACTTGTCAAACTATGTCTCGGGCGCAGTGGCAGTGCTCCTCAGATCTTTGCAATTGTTGAGTGGCACTGCTACTGTTATGGACAGGCGTGTAGCTTACCATCAGACGACATCACGACTTGTTTGTCCCGTCACTTGATATTATAAAAAAGCCTCTCTCCTGAAAAGTTGTTATCTTGCAGATGTGGCCTTAATAAATCAAGGGTAACACATTCTCCCCTGGTGGATCGGTTTTATTTTAAATTATCAAATTAAATATTAATATTTTGTACAAGTTTATTTTTGGTAGGTACTGTGGTGATTTTATCATCCTATCAGGTAACATAATTTTATTTTATTTATTTTATTTTTTTAGGAGAGCTCACAGCTACTTTTACAACTTGGATTTAAACATGAATAATCAGATGCCAATTAATTATAAGCTTCCACATATGAAAATAGGAAAATAACACTACCATCAATAACACTTCTATGAGATCGAAACAATCGCCTTATCAGTTACTTGAAAAAAAGTTATTGGTCGTAATAGTTTTATATTCATAACGCTGTCGTCATTGAGTTGGTTAAAAGATGTTAATGATCTTGATAGATTGAGCTATTCATTCTTAATGGAACATGAAGCAAATTACTTACGAAACTCTTAACTGGAACTTTGAGTATAATGTTACTGAGGAGCTCTGGACAATCAATGTTATTCTGTGCAATGTTCACCAGATAACACGCGTCAGCTACGTTTCTCCGTAGATTTAAAGATTACAGATGAAGTTTTTCGCAACGGTGTATTATTACTATCTTGATAAATGACAAACGACTACTTATCAATTGACCGAAATGACATTTTCCAGAAATAACGTTTGGTCGAAATTTCATAACCTCGAAAGTAATTTAGAGAGGAAAATGTTTATTCTTTTAAACCTAACCTAACCGATCCTAATCCTGACTTTGCGATAAACATTCAACATATCCTAAAACAACAACTGTTTTGTTATAATTCGGTTAATGATAATTTTCGGTGTAATGAAAATTTGAACAAACGTTATATCAGACAAAAAAAATTTCGACTTTGTGATAGGTTATCATCACACGCACGGCGAGACAACGACTGATGATAACTACAAGAGCGCTAGTGTAACCGCTCGGTACACTAGCCGTTTATTGGTGGTCATACTAGCATGTCATACTGATATGACCAATAAGAATTGTTTGTGTTACACCGTACCATACCTTGATAGATTAACTTAAATAATCTCATTTAGTAGTGTTTCATATTTTCGCAGCAGTAGAGCTCTTTGTTCGTCCAAGAAACTACTGCCACCAATAAATGTTAGCATTATTGCGTTCCGGCTTAGAAGGGTAAGGGTGCTGGTGAAATTACAGGTATATGGGACATGGGTGATAAATCTTTCATAGATTTCTCATAGATCTCATAGTCGTAGCGCCACGACTAAAAAGTCGTTGAAAAACCAAATACAAAGACACGACGCAAGCACATAGAAAAATTCGTGAGGTCGGTTGGTTCGTAACGTGGCTTAGTTAGTATAGCGTCTGACACCGTATGCAAGAAGACGTCGGTTCGAATCCGACCGGATCGAAGGATTTTTTTTCTGAGTGTTCGATCTTTGTATTAACAATTATATGGGACATGTTAACTTATGCCTCAGGGTGACGGGCGCTTTGATAGTGCCCCTCAGATCTTTGCTACTTTAAAGCTCTGAGTGGCATTGTAACTGTTATGGACAGGCGTGTAACTTACCATCAGCCGCACGACTTGTTCGTCCCGTCACTTATTGATATTATAAAAAAATTGGCAATATAATGAAATTGACCGTAATTTGCGAATAATAACTAGGAAACTTCCAGCACAGGTTTTGTTTTTCTGACAAGCATTTCGACTCATCCGACGAACAGAGTCCGATATGATTATGTAGCGAAAAGAGAATAAGTGCGTTACGTGAATAATTTCGTTATTCAAACTAAGGTAAAGATTTGATAATTTGGAGAATTTATATAACTTATTTCGTTTCGGAAATATAAAATCGAACAACGGTCTATCTGACATCCACAGCGAAGAAGAACGAACGAATGTACTTTGTCCTGAGAACATGTAGTCTTGCTAAGATCTACGGATCTTTGCTCAACGGATGAGTCGAATTACTTCTTTAGCTACATTAATAAATTCAAAACATTATTATAGATAAACACAGCCATGTTGTACCTTTACACTTTGTAGAAAACAGATTAAAACTTTAGGGGAAATAACGATATTTATCTTTCGTACTTTTAACCTTGACCTGAGAATATTTACGTACGCACAATGTACGCATAAACACTGTGAGTCACTTCTCAGTTCTCATACATATAGAGGAAAGCGTAAAAAAAATGTAAATCAGTCACATAATTTACTTAAAAAAATATTTAGGCTATTATTTACAAAATGCAATATCTCTGCCTTAAGAGTCGATACTACCTTAGCTCCAATTCATATTTTTCCCTTACTAATATGGTTCATTTTGCTTGGGTCTAGCGGCAGGGACATTGCCTTGATTTCAGAATTTATTTTTACAAACTAAATTAAAGCTATTTGAAAATGCGCAGCGCCCCTAACATCTTTGTGATTTGAACCACTGAGGGGCACTGTAGCTAAAATATTTAAAAAAAAACTATTATGGATAGGCGTGTTGCACCACCAGGCGCACGACTTGTTTGACCCGTCAAAACAACCCAACAAAAAAACAAAAGAAGCAAAATGAAAAAAAAAAAACAATATCCCGAGAGTTGCCAAAATGCAAATGCGTTAGTTTTGATAAGGATGACTGTATTGATTGTCGGGTGTTTTAAAAATCAAAGTACAAAGTAGTTAAATCTGTACAAAAATTTAGTAACAACTGGTCCCCAATTAAAACTCCTGGCAGCTCAAAATTGTAAATATTAGGTTAAATGTATAAAAAAATATATATAAATTTACGCGGACAGCTTTTTTAGTTATTAAAGGTAGGTTATTACTTAGTGTACACTCCGCATTTTACCTTGATGCAGCAAGCGAACAGCTGGCTAGGTGAAAACTGAAAATTAGCAATGCTGAGTGTTTAACCTTTTTGTCTACATGACTCAATTGTTTTTTTTTCTATTCGTTTTTATAAATAATAAAAAATAAGTATTGTGTTCCTTATGTTTTGTGGAGAAATAAATACCTTTTTATTTTTTTATTTTATTTTATTTTAAATATACTTTTTAACCATGAGCTTTATGCACCGATCGTCTCTTGGATAGGTAAGACCGGCGTCAGCTAGCTCCCTCAAGGTGACACTCAGGACTTCGGTGAAGCCCGCTCGGGCCGCGCTTTTCTGGGACGCAACTCCAGTGAACACCGTTGACGTGGTTGGGATGCCCAGAGACTTGCACAAGGGTTCTCTGTAACGTGCATTAAGTAGATAGAAAAGAGATATTATTCTGATATAGTGATTGTAGAAATTGAATAGGTCAAAACATGTTCAGAAACGCAAACAAATTCGCCTCTGGCATTCTGCCACGGCACGCTCGCTTCGCTCGCTCGGTTTGTTCCACAAATATCCACTGGAAGGGATCCTAAACCGTTATTAAATTTTTTTCCAGAAATCTCCACGGACGTTGTACTTGCTATGTAGTGAGAGATATTATTCTGATCTAGTGAATGTAGAAATTGGATAGGTATATATATAATATTTTTTATTCAAAACATGTTTAGAAACGGAAACAAATTCGCCTCTGGCACTCTGCCACGGCACGCTCGAACGAAATAAAAGTCGTTTGAAAAAATGTATATGGTGTACTATGTGTTCTATTTAGCTTAGTTGAAAAAAACATTAGTGTATGTAAAGTACCTATTGAATACAGTGGTTTTCTTGTATTTCGAGGTAAGTTTGTGTTTTTTTTCTATCGTGAAAATTTTTAGGAGTCGTGTTTACGCAACATATAGTATATTAAATTTTATTATATATATATTTTTAATGTGATTGTTTCAATTTTTTCACTGGTCACCTATTAGTGGTCCGAAATGACATTTTACACAAATAACGTTTGCTTGAATTTTCATAAACTCGAAAGTAATTTTGATAGGAAAATGTTTTTTTTTCTTATAAACCTAACTTACCCTAACCTAACCGAACCTAATCGTGTCTTTGCGATAAACATCCAACATATCCTGAAAGAACAACGGTTTCGTTATAATTCGGTTTTCGGTGTAATGGAAATTCGATCAAACGTTATTTCTGCAAAGTGTCATTTCATACGTTAAGGCATCAATTAAAGCTATTTGAGATTGTATGGACTTTTAATCCGCATTTGCCTAAAATCTTCTATATAAAGGAAGGCGGTGCCATAAATAAACTATAATGCCCGAAAAGGTACACACAGTATAAAACACTCCCTACTAATACCAAACAGTCTTATAAACAGTCCACTTACCCCAAGTGGGCTTTTAGAGGCATAGGCATACGTAATGATGAAAAAGAAGTAAATCACGTAAAGTTACAGTTTTGATGAAGATACTCCATGAGCATGTTCTCTCGCTTTGAGAATTTTGATGATGGAACTTACCAAGCAACGTAGGAAAAGGAATTCGAGGACGATTCAAAATTTTAAAAGTAAGTGGCCAGAAACCAGTAAAGAAGGTGATAAAAATGTAGGATGACGATGAAGGAGGTCACACAGCTCGACGTATATCCGAATGATTTAATAGGGCTATTGGGCCTAACTGGTGACGCAGCAGACTTAGAAAGATTGTTTATTATCTGGTCTGCAAATTTATATTTGCTATTTGTAGAATTAATAATGTAATTTAATTCAGAGCAGACAAACACGAACTTTAAAGTGAAATGTAATCAGTATTAATACAAAGATCGAACACAGAAAAAATTTCTTCAGTCAGGTAAGAGATGTCGCTATTATTATATTATTATTGTATTCTCTAGCCAGGGCTGGTAGCTGTAAAGGTACCTAACTGGGCGACGAAATACTTAAGATTTCTCATTGATGGCGCTACGGCTAAAAAGTCGTTGAAAAAACCAAACACAAAGACACGATAACAAACACATAGAAAAATTCGTGATGTCCGCTCGTTCGTTCCGTAGCTTAGTTGGTATAGCGTCTGTGACGGTATGCTAGAAGACGTCGTCGGTTCGAATTCGACCGGATCGAAGGATATTTTTCTGAGTGTTTTTCTTTGTATTAATAATTATAATAAACTAGTGGAGTAATTTCACATAAAAAATTATTGAGTATCAATTCAATAAAAATTTAAGTGAAATGTAATTTTTGAATAATGTTAAAAAATCTACACTTTTTTGCCATTACCAAACCATAAACAATAAAAGACTTAATATTATTTATGGTTTTGCTGGAACAAAATGTTTAAGTACTTATTTACTACCAAATAAAGGTTAGGTATATAAAAATATACGATACACCTAAGAATGCGCTAATTCCTTACACGATGGGATATACTTTATGCGATCATATAAAATTCCGAAAACAATCTAAAATAAAAATCTGAAACGAATTATTGAAGAATAGGATATATAACTTCGCGCATAATTTTTACATGGCGATATTTCTCTGTAAGTAGGTACTACTACTGAGAATATGTTACATATTGGTTTTCAATTGAAACCCCTATAGTTATTAAATTCACATTTATCCCGAAACTGGAGAATTGTCCAGCGGTTTAATGACACGCCGCGACATCCGCTGCCGCGTCAATCGCCATCGGGCGTTTGTTAACATCGGATTTGTGTCAAATTTTCCCCGCCTATTCTTATTTTATTCATGTTAATTTTAAGCGCGCGGATTGTGGGACGGGAGGGGCGTCCCCCAACCCTTCACGTCTTAAAACCTAAGCTCGCATTAAAATGTTTTCCCTTAAGTTTATAATTTATGATAAACGCCCGGAACTGGTGAACCCTAAGGGTGTATTGCATCATAATAATGCCAAACCACATATCAGTACAAACTCGTTCAAAACTATCCCAGTTAAGTTGGGATGTATCGTCATCTATCGTTTTTACTCTACATAACCCTTACAGTTTTTCACTTGTTTCGGTCTTTACTAACTTCATTGAACGACTTTGATAACGAAAAGAAAAACAAACGACACTTAGGGTCGTATTCCAGAACTCTACTCAATACTCAAGTCAGGACTTGAGTATTGCAGTGAGCACTGAAAATCATACTAAAGTCCTTGCCGTTAGGGTCGTATTTCCAGTGCTTGAAATCATACTCAAGTCTGCTCAAATCCTGACTTGAGCATCGAGTAGAGTTCTAGAATGCGACCCTTAGAGCTGTGTTTTATTAGCAAATACAGGAATGGTTGGAATGCCAAAAATTGTAGATCAACGTGGCCAATATTTTGATTCTGCCTGGACATTTTGGCCAACCCTTTGCCAATTAATAAGTTGTCAGTTAATTGTCGAATTTTTTATATTAAAATTAAACCTACCGCGCAGCCAACAACCTGGACCCAAGTTTAGCACCTCTGTAGTCTCTTCTTACCACCAAACCAACGGCATAGAGTAGTTTATCAGTTTCCAAATATTTGAAAGCATTTAGTTTTGAATCGATGTAAGCTAAAGTGTCAACAACGTTACGCCACGCTGCTCCGTCTACCTGAAAGTGATAGAACGGATTATACCAAACTCCTTCTACCTGAAATTGACAGAAAGGATTATATCAACTAATTGCTACATTTTTCTTTCACTTTTTAGAACCGTCTCTCACCTGTGTAGTTCTATAAAATGGCATTTTTATTTAGTTGCTGCGGCTTTGTGAATCTGTTCACGTCAATTCTTGCTAACCTGTTGCTGTTTATAAATTTTATTTCTTTGGCCATCCAATTCAAAAGCGTTGCCGGTACTAGGATATATGGCGCGTCTCGATCTGAGTTGTTTTATAATAATACGAGCCAATTTTACTTACCATACCAGGAATAGTTTCCTTTTCGTCGGCTAGCATTACGTAGCAGCAGTTGAGACCTGCCAAAGTTCTCTTTCCTTCTTTGAGGTGGTAGCAGGCGAGGGCCATGCGCTTTGATAGATGATGTCTCCAAAATGTCTGCATGTTTTGTTTACTTGATTCTTCTTCTGGTATTCCTGATATTCAATAAGGTTTAGTTATTACTTGTATTATACATGCCACTACTTGCTATTGCTATGGATTTCTCTAAAGAAATATATCTCATTGCGTAGTAGACTACCACTAAAGTACCAAACCTGCTTCTGCTTAGGAACTCCATACTTGTCTTTGCTAGCTCTCAACTTCCTTCGACATACGATTTTCATATAACGTGTAAAAGCTTAATGTAGAGCTCCTTGTAAAAGATTTCGTCCAAGGAAGTACTGCCACTTTACCTATTTCTGCCGGTTACCTATCATTAGTCCAAAATGACATTTGCCAGAAATAACGTTAGCTCGAATTTTCATAACCTCGAAAGTAATTTTGAGAGGAAAATATTTTTTGTTTTAAACCTAACTTAACCTAACATAACCGAACCTAATCGTGTTTTTGCGATAAACATCCAACATATCCTGAAAACACAACGGTTTCGTTATAATTCGGTTTTCAGTGTGATGAAAATTCGAACAAACGTCATTTCGGAAAAATAAATTTGAGTTTGTGATAGGTTACCATTTCTGCCGCCAAGCAGTAATGTGAGCATTACTGCGTTCCGGTTTTGAAGGGTAAGGGTGCTGGTAAAATTACAGGCACATGGGACTTGTTAACTTAATTATGTCTCAGAGCGCAGTGGCAGTGCCCCTCAGATCGTAGCATTTTAAAGCTCTGAATGGCAATGCAACTGTCATGGACAGGCGTGTCGTTTACCATCGAGCCTACGACTTGTTTGTCCCGGCACTTGGTATTATAAAAAAAAAAGACAATTTTACTTGATGGTGTTCAAAAAGACCTCTGACGTCCAAGTGTTTGCCGTGAACAAATACTGCAACATTTGCCAATAAATCTACCACTAGCCTTCTTAAAATCATTTCTCGTTACTTACCACTAAGCGTGAGCATAGTTTCGTCATCGGGCAATAAATTTTCCATCATCAACTTCAAGGCCTCGTCGTCGTCTTCAGGAAGTAGGTCTTGGATTACCCAGTTTGCTCCGTCTGATTCCCATTTGTCGTAGATTTGAGGACACGACGAATCCCATACTCTTTGGAATGGCATGGCCTTTTAAGAACTGGGGATTCAGAGAATAGTGTGCCAATTAATTTGTATTTAGCTTGTTGATTATCAACAGCGGTTTCAAAATTCTCTACTGCACAAAGATTTACTCTAGTCTGCCGTAATAGGCGGTACGGAGGGAAAACTTAAAAGTCGAAAACTTTTTCCGTTGACTGGACTGTAAAAGTTTTGTATTACCTATAATTCTTGCACTTAAGCAGGTGGTATTTATTTTTTACAATTCTAAACTGATTCGCGGATTCTCTGGAAACAGTACAGCTATAGGACTTTTGGAAAAGCACTGTAACATTTTGCATATCACCACAATATTTATATTATAACTATTTATCTTATCCATTTGATAAGATTTACGATAGCCTCACAACCTTGTTTTGTAAATATTTAATGTAGCGATCCCGGTGGCAATCTGTTTGCATCTTGACTAGGCCTTAGGTTTGATATCCGGTCCGAACCAATTTTGAAATTGGTTCTGGCGTGGGTATAAACAGTATATGGAGTCTCCTTGGTTAAATCCAGTACCGTTACTATGATATTGCGTGGTGGGTAGTTGCTAGTAACCGCATAAATATTAGACACTTCCTTATGGCAAATTATACAGCGTCTCTGGTAGTCACAAGGGCTAAAATTGCAAAAAAAGAGAGCGTCGACAACCCAAACAAAGGCTAGGCGTCGCTCATGCGCGTAAGTCTCTCCGCAACGCATAGCGGAACGCCTCGTGAACGCCTTTGCGCGGAAAGCAGGTTTCTTCGCCGTGTACCCAGCCAACGCAGGCGAGCGAAAAACGCAAGTGAGTGACTTGTAAGCCCGGCGAGCGATAATTAGTGAGCAGTGGTTTCTTAACACAGTATCAGTGGAATGACAGAGATGACATTCATTCATTCATTCATTCTCTGACGGTCGATGTTGCCTTACTAAAATTATCACGAAAATTACAGTATTTTTTTTTGTCTCGTTTAATCAGGAATTTAGCCTTCAAGTTAAATATATTTCTTTATGTCAAATAATTAGTAGACTGCGCCATTGACTCGCCACTGAAGAGCAAAATACCGATGGCGATGGCAGTTGACTAGCTTGATGGCTAACCACTAACAATCCATTACTCCTAACTTTTAACAGAATAACCTAGGTACAAAATCCTGCAATTTTGGCACTCTGTCGACACACAACCAGAGACTGAGAGAGAGGTAAAGATGGTGAAATTACAAGCACATGGGACTTGTCAACTTATATCTCAGGATGACAGGCGCAGTGTCAGTGCCTCTACGATCTTTGTGATTTAAAGCTCTGTAGTACTGCAACTGTTATGGATAGGCGTGTCGCTCATCACCAGCACGACTTGCTCGTCGCGTCACTTGAGATTATATAATAATCTCAGTACAGAGTACTAAAAAAACTGACTTCAAACGTGGGTGGAATTACATCTATTTGCCAAGTTTTATTGAAATCGGTTACCAGAAAGTGCGCAAACCCGGATTCATCCCCTAGTTCGCCACTATACGGGACTTGACACAGGAGATAATAAAAATCGGTTCTCACTACTCAAAGTATATTGAGAGAGACGCCTTGAAATGGAGAATAGCAAAATCAACCATTAAAATAATTGCTTCTTATAATAAAATTTAGGCTCTATTTATACAAAAATGAATCTTCATGCGTGACCAGCCAGCCTTAGAGGTGGATGATTTTCTTCAAAATTAAATGGGACCACTATGGAGGTACCATCTTTGCAACGAAAAAGAATCATCAAAATCGGTTCAAAAATACTGGAGTTATCGCCTAACATACATACAAAAAAAAAGAATAATGAAAAAACATACAGTCGAATTGAGAACTTCCTCCTTTTTTGAAGTCGGTTAATGAGATGATGTGAAAGCAGTGATGAACGCTTCAAGTCTTCCATAACGTAAAGTGTCTATTTCAAGAACCTTTAGGGTGCTTTTCCACTGACGCGGTGCTGGGCGGAGTGGAGTAATATATTGTATAAGGAATAATAACAATTCCACAGATAAGAAATTTGTTCTAACAAAACAGATTATCTTTATGCTGATCGTAAATTGCGGTTTTTGAATACATCATAGAGGGTTTATGATATGTGTAAATAAAGATATTTTCGTTCTTTTGGATAGTTTGTTCTAAAATTCCCTTGTAAAATGGAAAAAAAAGCAATTTGTTGCAGTCACCTCAGGAATTATGAATTGTTGTGATTTGTTACTGTAATTCCCCAACAACAACAAGCATAACAGCAAAAGCTTTCAGTTTAAAAGTAAATTTTAGAACTATCAAAACCTACTTCAAAAAAGGAGGAGGTTCTCTATTCGAATGTATTTTTTTTTGTACGTTACGCGATAACTCCGGTCGGATTTTTTAGTACCCTCTACTGAGATTATTATTTGTTTATTTAATCAGGCAACATGACATGATATACCTTAAGAACTAACATACATACAATGCAATATAACAGTATAATAAAACACTATTCATTTATTTACACGTATGCACTGCGACGTGTGACGCAGCTTGGGTGTCCGGTAACCGGCGGCCCGTGAAACGTCAATACATGACGTTTTCGCAAAACTATGATCTTATTGGTTTACACGTTATTGCTTATTACCCGCACCCATTTCTATAAGTACTATAGGCATTCACTTACGTTTATAATTATGTTCCGTTACGTAGAGAAATAAAAACGCACAAAATTTGTCCGCACTTTTTATTACTGGACTGGAATAGTAACACTTTGGTCATCCACGTACATCACAGCTATAATAAGCACACAAAGGGGCCCCAATTGGTAAGGACGGCGTTATTATTATAATATAATAGCCGAACCCAGAATTCGTTACAATGCCACTGAAAGAAAAAAAAACTGATTTTCGAAAGCGTAGCTGTAGACACATTTGTCTAAACTTCTATTTATATCAGTTGTTTCAATACACAACTGACTTAAGTAGAAGTGATGCAGTGACGCGGCAGCCGCGCTTCTAATTTTCATACAATAATTAGTTTGAGCGCGCACTTTTGCAGGCGTGGGCGCAACAAGTCGCGTAAGTTTTATCACAGAGTTATACGAAATGGTGAAATTACTGGCAAATGTCATCTTACGTCTCAGAGTGACGGGCGCAGTGGCAGTGCCCCTGAGATTTTTGCGATTTGAAGCTCTGAGTGGTACTGCAAATGTCTTGCCCATCTCGTCTCTTGATATTGTGTATTAATCAAATAACGTTACGGTTAAAAAAATAAGTCCGTGGCTTTGAAAATTAAAAATATATTTTTTCGAAATATTTTTTCGTTCGAATCCGACCGGATCGAAGGAATTTTTTCTGAGTGTTCGATCTTTGTATTAATAATTATAACAAACTATTGGAGTAATTTCACAAAAAATAATTGAATATAAATTCAATGAAAATTTTATTAATACAGTGAATAGCGACAGCTGTAAAGGTACTAACTGGGTGATACATCTGTCATAGATTTCTCATAGATGGCGCTACGACTAAAAAGTCGTTGAAAGACCAAGTACAAAGTCACGACGCAAGCACATAGAAAAATTCGTGAGGTCCGTTGGTTCGTTCCGTGGCTTAGTTGGTATAGCGTCTGCCACGGTATGCAAGAAGACGTCGGTTCGAATCCGACCGGATGGAAGGAATTTTTTCTGAGTGTTCGATCTTTGTATTAATAATTATAAAAAATATTTTTTGTCAAACGCAAACACGGGGGTGGGGCAATAGTAAGTACCATAATTCGGCAAGTTTTAATTAACGTTCTGATTACAGATGGAAATTCCATCATTTTATTCATATTTTTTCTTTCGCGCTAATTTTATATAGAAATAAATTCCGGAAAACGGTTTTATTTAAGTTTAAAGTCACGTACCTATTTATTAAACCGCACGCTTACGCATGGAATCGCCCTTGGGTTCGTAGATTTGGTGACCTATTCCTCGCAAGTTTCCCGTTGCGAGTTTGGTGTGGTGAGTAACGGATTTTAGTTTTCCCACGTTTTGCAACACTCGACTTCTGTGTAAGAAATAAATGAAAGGATGGGAAGAAAATATGAAACTTAAGTGTTCCTTAACACGTCGGTTGGATGAATCAAGAGAAGAGAAATAACATAGTTGAGTTTTTTGTAACCTTAAGAAACAATGATATTTTTAGTTTTTTTTATAATATCAAGTGACGGGACACGGGGCGAACAAGTTGTGAGCTTGATGGTAAGCTACACTCCTGTCCATAACAGTTGCAGTGCACTGCCACTGCGCACGTTACCCTGAGACCTAAGTCGACAAGTCCCATGTGCCTGTAATTTCACCAGCACCCTTCAAAACCGGAACACAGTAATGTTTACATTACTGCTGGGCGGCGGAAATAGGTAAGGTGGCAGTACTATTTTGAGACACAGAACTTCTGTACAGAATTTGTTCGTGTTTCTGAACATGTTTTCAGGATAAATTGAAAAAAATATATATATAATATTAGTATTAGGGATATCGTGTTTAGGAAATAATCCTATTTCTACATTAAATGAAATTTAGATAAAACGACGTTGTGTTAACTGTAGTTTATAACTTATGATAGTCAATTAACGCTCGTTTTATTAAGTGAATTACTATATTGAATGAGTTTATAGGAAGTAAAATTATGCCAATTGAGCGTTACATGAATAATATTCATATGATACATTATACACCCTTGTAAATGCCATGTTGTTTTTTTCTGTAACTTAAAAGCTTTTTTATGAACACCAAAATGAGATGTACTTCGTACCTTTAGTATAAAAAATATGGAAGTCATAAAAATAATACAAACACATGAAACAAATTACGTACATGTAAAATTTTGTAACTCTTATCTAAGCGTAAAAAAGTTATAGATGTTAGCGAAGGCTGTGTAATCGGTTATGTGATTTGAAGTATTTATTGCTGCTTGTAATATCTACCAGATTTCAAGAATAGGTTACCGATTCGATTTGAGTATAATCAATAAAAACTATCGAAAACGGCAACACCAAAATATATTGTTAAAAAAAAGATGAGAGATGGAAGTGAATTAACGTCTTAACTGACGAAACGTTACTTTCCTGAAATGATGTATATTTCGTCCGCTCATTCCAAGAAGTTATTAATTGCCATATAATTAATGTATATGTAATGTATAATAAATTAATTGTTATATGATAATTAATGATTTCTTGCACTAAGACTAAGCGATTTTTACGTGTTATAAGGGATTGCAGTTAATATGTTATGGGTATATTGTTTCATTTAAAAAAATGGTAATATGTTTATGCTTACATAGATGTAATTTTGTTCGTAGAATATTTGAACCTATTAATAAAGATTTTCCAAGTAGACATAGAAATAAGACTCCAGTGACTGTTAAAAATTATATTATAAGATCTTTCACTACAAATCCAAACAAAACAAAAACACGTCTTTTGTAATGCAAGACGCTTTTCGTAATGGCGGTAGAGATGGGTGATAAATAACGTCACGATGAAAAAATCACGATGATTCGCCGTCAAACAGTATCACCGTGAATCGTTCCGAAGGAACGACGTTCCAGTTACATAGGTGTTCCGCCGTTCCAATAGCTATCCCCGTCACTCACATCACGGCGTACATACATACGTATTTGGTACAATGCGCGATCTCCGTTACGTGGTGACTGAGCGCGCCACTCGTTGTAGTTCTCTTCAAATCGGGCCATTTCGGCGATGGGAGTGAGTGAGATAGGATGACTTTCTTTGCTCACTCACAAGGGTCGTAGGTACTTATTACTACTAGAAAGGGCGGATGAAAAAAATCTGCAGCAGTTACTATAAACATGTTTATTAACAAAGTTAAATATTTTTGTATATTTGTTTTATTTTATGAAGAGTTGGCATTTTATATTTATGTATAATCTACTTTGTGTATTCTACTAGAAATATAATTACATTACACTTTATTGCTATTTTTAACAATCCAAAGATTCGCATTAAATAAGTAACAAACAAAATTACATTAAATACAAAATCAACTTTTTGAATGGAATTGAAACTTATTACAAAGGGAGTAAAAATTTAAATCATTCTATAAAAAACGGCTACAAGTATTAGAAAGAAGCCGATGGCTAAAACCGTATATCGTGATGTAAGTTATAGGCGGGACAAGGTCACGGAAGTAACAGTTGTGACAAAATCTATATAATATATGATTTTTTTAGAACCGGAACGACAGTCACGGCGATAGAAATGTAACGCTATTCCCCATGTCTAAATGGCGGCCGCCTGTCAGCGTTCCGTTGATATCGATCATGATAATATCGATTTATTTCTTATTTCGATGAAACTAATTCTTAGTGACGTAAAGTAACTTTTCTAACAAAGTAAAATAAAGTAATATCACGATACGCTAATACTATATCCCCCTTGTGTAAGATTTTGTCCAGGGAAGTACTACCACCTCATCCGTTTCTGCCGCCAAGCAATTATATTCATATGAGCATTACTGCGTTTTGGTTTTGAAGAGTTAAGGGTGCTAGTGAAATTACAGGCACATGAGACTTGTCAACTTAAGTGTTCGGGTGTCGTGCGCAGTGGCAGTGTCCCTCAGTTCTTTGCTATTTAAAATATGTGGCTTATCATCAGGTGCACGACTTGTTCTTCCCGTCACTTGATATTTTATAAAAAATTGTCAAACTCTTTGTGTAATAATAATAAATAATAATAAATAACGCACACACTCAACATAGCCCCGCACTAGGGAAACCCTGTATCGCGGGTGCCATGGACACATACATAGACAACCACAAATTACACCTAAACTCTCGAGAGAAATAATTGTAGGCCATACTACTATTTCTCCCGGCCCGGGAATCGAACCTGGGACCTCTGCGTGGCATGGTAACCGTTTGGCCACGGAGGCAGTTAGTGTAATAAGGCCACGTCTTTTTTTATGGTATCAAGTAACAAACAAGTCGTATGCCTGGTGGAAAGCGACATGCCTGTGTATAATAGTTACAGTGCCGCTTAGAGCTTTCAATGGCAAAGATCCGAGGGGCACTGCCAATGCGCCCGTCATCCCGAGACATAAGTTGACTAGCCCCATGTGCCCGTAATTTCATTTGATGGCAGAAATATGTAGGTAAAGTGGTATTACTTCCCTGGACACACTCTTTCACAAGGAGCGCTACTGCTTCTTTAAAACCGACTTATAAATTGTGGAAATTTCTTGATAAACAAAGTTTAATTGAACTTCTTGACCATTAGCTTCATACATCGATCGTCATCCCTCGGATACTTGAGACCGGCGTCAGCTAGCTCCCTCAAGGTAAGGCTCAGGATTTCGGTAAACCCCGCTCGGGTCGCACACTTCTGTGCCGCAATTCCGGAGAACAAGGTTGACGTGGATGGAATGCCATGTAATTTACACAGAGGCTCTCTGTAATATACAATTAAGTATAGATTGTGTAAGCAATTTGTGTCCTGATTAGGGTGGGAAAAAAGTGACAGCCTAGTTAGCAGAACACTTGTTTCCTGTGGTCGTGGATTCGATGCTTGACAGGCTTGTATAATTTTTTGGCTTACCCGCAGCTATTATTAAAAATGGAAGCAAATTAATTTGCTACTCCGCGAACCCAATGAAGGTTAAATCGTGCAGAATAGCTGCGCTAGTTAATTTTCCCACTTTCCCTAAGCATAAAAATCCGTGTCGGGTATATTTTTGGTGGTGGTTTGTGGCTGTAGTTGCGTTTGTGTTATTTATTTTACGAAGTCCACTTCGTCAATTAAATATCTTAACAAAAAGCGGAAACTTAATCAATATTAACACAGCCAAAGAATTTGTAAGGTATTGGTTACTAAATACTAGCATTCTATAATACCTATTAATGCTTATTTGTTATACACCGACGCGATATCTTCACTATTTACTTATTAAAAAATTTTAAAGGAACCTACCGTGCAGCCAACATCCTAGCTCCAAGACTAGCACCTCTGTAGTCTCTCCTTACCACTAAACCAACAGCATACAGCAGTTTATCAGTTTCCAAGTATTCGAAAGCATTTAGCTTCGAGTTGAAAATTCCCAAAGTTCCCTGAACGTTACGCCACGCTGCTCCATCTGACTGAAAGTGAAAGATTAAACTATTAAATGCTGGTAAGATGCTTATGAGTAAGTACTGTAGTTTTATTGCAGGTTGCTGTTTTCAACTACATAGTTCTGCATGGTCACATAGATGGCCCTCATAAGAAGGCTCAGGGTCACTCAGCGGGCAATGGAGAGAGCGATGCTCGGTATTTCCCTACGTGATAGAATCAGAAGTGAGGAAATCCGTAGAGAACTAAGGTAACCGACATAGCTCGAAGAATTGCTCAGCTGAAGCTAGAAGATCCGATGGCCGTTGGGGCGGAAAGGTTCTTCAATGGCGACCGCGCCCCGGACGACGCTCAGTAAGTAGGCCCTCCATCAGGTGGACCGACGATCTGGTAAAGGTCGCGGGAAGTCAATGGATGCGAACAGCGCAGGACCGATGGTCGTGGCGATCGTTGGGGGAGGCCTATGCCCAGCAGTGGGCGTTGTATGACTGAATAATGACATATATGCCTCAAAATATTCCATGAGTTTTTTTTAAATTGGAAAGTCATTATGAATTAGTCAGTATTTGAGGTTAGCGCCAACAAAGTAAACGCCTTGTGAACGAGTTCGTTCAGGGAAGTACCTTACCTATTTTTGCGGCCAATTATGTAAAGTAAGCATTATTGTGTTCTGGTATTGAAGAGTGAAATTACAAGCACATGGGCACTTATCAACTTATGTCTCAGGGTGCAGGGTGCACTAGCACTGCTCGTCAAATCTTTGCAATTTAAGTGTGGCACTGCAGTTGTTATGGGTAGGTGATTCGCTTACCATCAGGCGCACCACTTGTTCGTGCCGTCCATTGAAATCATAAAATAAAAATCACAAATACCCGCTCACGCGATACATGCAGCTGTGGACGCATACCACACCTAGAGGTGCCTGTGATGATTTTATACCGATTTATGGGATATCGAAGTCATGACAAGTAAAAGAACTATTATTAATTGCTATTTCGGTAACTACTCTAGCAAACCATAAAGTTTTTAATGCCTGGGTCTGTCATTTAAAAAAAATAAACAACTTCAAAAATACGTCACGACAATCGTGTGTGTTATTGTTTGGGCTGGTGATTTCGATGTTTATTTATTGAAAACATACCGTAAGTAGCGTTTTTCAAGTTTACCGTGAATATAAATGTTTACAAACTATACTTTAAGGAGTAATTTCATGGTAAACGTTAGAACCACCCAAACGGAATATTATCATATTTATCCAAGTACGCCAAAAATTTCATTAGTGCTCTTTAAGTGCAGGATTTGCGGTGTATTACTGCATTTTATTTGAAATGTTTTTGTTGGTAGCACGGAGGGTATTTATTTAGCAATGCAGAATAATAACTTTTATTTATAAAAACTTGTATTTAAACTGAATCCTTTTCTATTTTGCGAAACCAAATAGCCGCCATTTTGCGGTAGGAGGAGCGCATCGCGTGAGCGGATACACGCAAACCTAAACGTATTTTGTTCACATCAACTCTTCTTGTTAGTCCGACATGAAGATCCAAAGCAAACAAATTTCCATAAGTCACGAAGCATCATAATTTACAAGGTCTAAGGTGATTGTGTTTTTCTTACCAAACCAGGTATCACCTCCTGTTCATCAGCAAACTTTACAAAGCAGCAGTTGACAGCAGCCAAAGTTTTCTTTCCATCTTTGATGTGATAGCAGGCGAGACTCATGCGCTTCGATAAATGATGTGCATAATATATTTCCATGTTTCGCCTGCTTTCTTCTTCTTCTGTTACTCCTGATTTATGATAACGTTTGGTTATTACAGGTATTTTATGTCCCACTACTTGCTACTGCTAAGCTTTTCTCTAAATAGTCTAACACGCTAGCCTACTGCGCTAGGAAACTTCATATTTGTCTTTGAAATGTAATAGGCATACGTTTTCTCTATGACATGGTACTTAATATCTTTGATCATTCTGTTTGACATTATACACTATGATACGTATTTCAGCGATAATAACAATCCGTAACAATAATAGCTCATAATTATTTTGTGACCCTAAATGTAGTTAAGACAAATTTCATGAATTTCACTACCAGAAAAGAAAAATCTTGTACCGCCTTTCACTAATGACAATCAAGCTATAAATACGAGGCATGCCTTTTAAGTTCTGTCGTTTATATATTTACCGGCAGCTTTGAAATTGGAACTGTTCGATATTCAAATTGTTGGAATTTAGAATCTCAAATCAATTGAAAGTATAAGGATTAATGCTATTGTTTAGTCATTGTGTCGTTTTCAATCTGTCAGGTCACGTACGAAAATGAATCTTACTAAGGAAAATGTCCGTGCAATAATTTTGTACAACTTTAAAAGAGGCCTGACACGGCTTCAGTGATTTCAAGAGCTACCATCTGTGTTCCACGATGAAGCGTCATCTCTGCGGACTGTCGAACGCTGGTATTTAGAATTCCAGTGTGGACATACCAGTTTTAGTGACAAATCTCGCGAAGGACGTCCAAAATTCACCTTCACGAAAGAAAACATTATTGCTGTGAGACAACTAATTCTCAAACTCATCATGTGACATATCGAGAGATAGAGGCGTTATTAGGCATCTCAGTTGCGACAATTGCACTTGAAGATCATATAACGATTAATGCAGATTGGTAGACCTTGTAGTTAAGAAAACTCTTCGTGGTCAAAGGTTCCAATCCGGTGAAGAAGCAGTTGACGCTTTCAAGACAGCCATATTGAACACCCCTACTTTGGAGTGAAACAAATGTCTTAATGACTGGTACAAGCAAATGGAAAAGTGTATTAAACTACGTGGTGAATATTTAGAAAAACAATAAAAGATAGGTACTATAAGGTTCTAGTAGTGTTTTTTCTTCAAACGAGAAAACTTATAAGATATGCTTCGTAGAGTAAAGTTGAAAACATTTCAATGTTATCAAGGACATAACTATTTGACAACAACAAATTGATAAGATTTGGAAAATTATTATCTTACATGACTGGCTCTTCGTGACATGACACGATGATTTCTATCTGTTCAAGTGTGTGTTATATCGTATTATTCATACTCAAAATATACAAGTCACGACCACTATAAGGTAACGAAGCACCTTAGACGTTGGAGAAAGAACTAAGAAGGACGGATTTGTGCTGCCAAAATTCATGTCCATCCTCTAAGATCGCATCATCACCCCTTCTCCCACTGGGCTATGCAATAAATCTCCTTCTCTCTACGCTACTAACAAATCTATTTCAACTTTGCTCAATTCGCATCAGTGTATACAGGCCGGTTTATTCATAATATTTTTAACCTGACCTTTCGTAAGGACGTCCTCAATTTGATTGATTCATATAATTTGCGGTCTACCTTTTCCCTTGTTTCCATCCACATTAGCTCTATAAATTTGTGTCGTCAATCTACTAACATGTCACGCCCGTTTCCCGGAGGTACTACGCAATAAACCCGCACTCGCTACGCTACTGACAAATCGATTTCAACATTTTCAACTAACATCTGTCTCTTCATATATGCTCGATTATTCTCGATAGTTTCAACTTGACCATTTTTAAGTCCGGATTTAAATCGCGTATATTTGTTTTTTCAACAAACCAACGTTTCGGGCCTTTTAACATACAAATTATTTTATTTTAACAATATGAATTTTTATTAAGTTAAATTTATTATTAATTAATGATGGAGTTTAGAATACATTAATACATATTAATTAGTACTGCAGCAACCTGGGTAGATAATGGGGTTTTTCAAACTTCATTGAATGTGTAGTAATGTGTTAAATCACGGAACAATAGTTTCATTTTCTTTGTGTAACAATTGCGAAAACCTAAGAACTCCATAAAAAATGAAAGTGTTCATTAGGATCACTTTGACCTAGTTTACAGCAAATGTGCTGGGGAACTCCATTTAAGCAAAATAATTGCTTGTGCTAGGAGACCCCGCTCTTCCATGTTAGGGTTTTATGTGACCAGGTAATACAATACCCCCAACCAGTCTAATATAGTTGGCATATACCTTTTCCCTTGTTTCCATCAGCTATGTAAATCTGTACCGTCAATTTACTAATATCCATGCTTTCTACATGACCAAATCGTAGAAGTAATCTCTTTTGTATCCTATTGACTATATAATTTTACACATTAAGACGCTCTCTTACTACGCTGTCCCGCATTCTGTCTTTAAAAGTCGATACAACCTCAGCTCGAATTAAACATTTTGCCGTACTAATAAGGTTCATTTTGCTTGAATCAAACGGCATATACTGATACTGGCTTTATTTCAGAATTTATTTTTTTATAAATTAAATTAAGGTTATTTGAAATATGTATATCGTATACTATACGTGCACTATTTAGTCCAGCTGATATATATAAAAAAAACATTGGTATGTAAGGTACCTATTGAATACAGCGATTTTCTTGTAAAATTTCGAGGTAAGTTTGTGTTTATTATATTGTGAATGTTTTTTAGGAATGTTTTCACACAGCACCGTATACTAATCAGTGTATATCTTCAATATTCCTACATATTTTTCCAAAATGATTGATACAACACTTATTCGGATCAAAGCCATTTGAAGTTGTATCGACTTCTAAGAGTAACGTCAACCATACTGCGCAAAGATTTGAATTCTACAGCATTCACTCTATTTTCACGCTTTTTCTGTCATACCCAATATTCACTTCCGAACATCAGGGTTGGAATGCCTCGATGAACCCATAGTCCAATGAAAAAATTCAAACAATACAAAATGTAATGTTATCACAACGTCTCTATTCTCATTATCTGATTTTCATATTCAGTTAAATAAATGTAGTCAAATTGCTGGTGAAATTACAGGTTGGGTCTTTGCGATTTAAAGCTCTGAGTGGCACTGCAACTGTTGTGGACAGGCGAGTCGGTTACCACCACAGGCGTACGACTTAGTATCAAACTGTACATTATAGTTATACATAACTGAGTTGGGATCATAACGATACCTCCAATGAACAATACGCCAACTTAATTTTTTGGTCATTTTCTCGTTATGCTCCCCGAATTTTGTGAAAAAAAGAATAAAGAAACGAAAAAAATAAAAACTCATTTTGTGAAAAAAAGAAACAAACAACAAAATAAAAATAGAGATGACCACAAAATTAATTAGGCGCAGTGCTCCTTGGAGGTATCGATAAAAAAAAGTAATTTAAACATCGAAAAAGAAACTAAAATTCCACATTACAAGGAATTTCTCAATATTTTGATATTTTCTTTCTTTACATAATTACTATCACAATTACTTTTATTTTGTCTCAATTCGACTGAATTTTGACTGAATATGATTACGCTGACATTTGTGAACCGATTTAGTTTCATGCATGCAACTTTTGGGTTTCAATTGTTCCATGTGGAACTGAGTACGTAGAACTACTGGGAATAAACCATTTCCTGACATTACTTCGAGTTGCGATATAGTTTAAATATTGAACCTTCGCAAGCAAAACGCGCTACCAAGGGTCATAATTTTTTAGATAAATGCTTGTACTTACCACTAAGCTGACTCATGACTGAATCAGGCAATAGCTGTTCCATCATCATGTTCAAAGCTACTTTGTCGTCTTCGGGAAGTAGGTCTTGGATCACCCATTTTGCTCCATCTGACTCCCATTCGTCGTAGATTTGAGGACACGACGCATCCCATATTCTTTTATATGGCATTGCCGTTTGGGAACTGGGAATTGAAAGAGTTGTGTATCGATTAATCTGTATTTAGCAACTTACTAAATAATCTAATTAAAAAAAAAAATAAACAGCCCTCCTCGTCAGACGCTAAAGGAAAGTGGGACTCGCTTAAAGACTGATGGTACAAGTGGTAGGAATGGAGATCATATAAAACAACTTCCTCCACCCTCCTTCGCTACTTGCCACTAAGAGCTTGAAAGCGCAGAGACCTGAGGACACTGCCAAGTCATCCTGAGATATATGTTGACAAGTTCCACGTGCCTCTAATTTCACCAGCGCTTCAATCCGAAACGCAGTAATACTCACATTACTGCTCGGCGGCAGAAATAGGTAAGGTGGCAATACTTCCCTGGAAGAACTCTTTTACATGGAGCTGTACTGCTACTACAAACTTACGAACTTGACCGAGGAAAACAATATCAAAATTTTGTACTGATAAGTGGACTTCCTAAACAAGTACTTATAGCTATAGTACTATTGAAAAAATGATAAAAAATGTATACATGACGGCAATTATATCATCATTTATCTTATCTTTTTGACAAGAGTCACGATTTACGACAAGCGTGTTTCGGAGATTACACATTCAATTCGGTGACCTTGGTGACACTCTGTGTGCATTGTGAGGGGGGTTCGATGTCAGGTCGGATGTAACAATTTAAGAAACAAACATTTCGAAAGTGGATGGGGGTTTTTAAACGCATAAAAAAAAGGAGTAGGTACTCAATTCGACTGTTTTTTTTTTGTAAGTATGTTACGCATATGTGAACCGATTTCGAGGATTCTTTTTTGTTGGAACGAGGGTACCTCAGTGTTGGTCTCATATAAATTTTAACAAAAGATTTTGAGAGTTGTAGAGTCCTGATTAATGCTTTTCGTAGTTTCAATTCTGTGTAATGTTGGTCAGTGATTGTAGTTTTCATTATTTTGCAAATAAACAATATTTATGGAAGTGGACCAACGAACTACTGTTATGCTGTCGTTATACTGTCGTTTAGATATTGTTAGCAGTCTCTCAGGGTCAATACAATATTAACGTAGATTGTTTGAAATGAGAAGTCGGCAAAATCAAGGAGACGTGTATTTGTAGCAGCGTCTTGCAGTTTATATATTATTTAAAGACGACAAAACATTAATTATCTTGTATATTTATGTTATACATTGAAACCCACAAGTCAATGACAAAAAACTAGATTTGAGGTAATTACATTAAGAGTTTCTGGCCTCCTAGAGTTTGCCTTACGAACGAAGCAGTACAGTTGAATAAATATGGCGATTTCCAGTACAATTTGCTTACCTATAAATAAAGATAATTTGGCTTTGACTTTGACTAAGAAATATCCTTCTTCTCTTTGCTTACAACCGGTGCCATGTTTAGGATTTCTCTAGCGTTACTTTTGGAAAGATCATCCTCGTTATTTCAGCCGAAAGACGTGCTGGACATATGCCTCCCCTTATTATTTGTAAAAATAACATATTGGCGATCGTCAACAAACATTTTCTTCCATTAGAACACCGACGTACAGTAAGCGACATGTCTTACTTAACGAGCATTGCTCGTATATCTATAGATTGTTCGGATTTATTTGCTAAAATACAAACAGCCTCCGTGAACGTGGACGTACCTTTAGTCAAAACTAATTACAGACAAAATTCTTTTATAATGCGTGCCTCCTCTGCGTTTAATAAGTCGTGTGTGGACCGTGATCTTGATATGTTTTGTACTAGTACCGCTGCAGTAAAACGGCGTTTAAGTATAAAAAGCTTTGAATGCGTGTACCAATTCTGCCCTCCTAACTAAGACAGCAGTAACTAAGTCAACCCTGTTTTCGAGAAAAACGTAATTAAAGAAAATAATTTAAAATTTACTCTAACTTCAAAACTACGCAAGCTATAGCGACATGGCATATATCAATAGAAAGACAAAAAAAAGAATGAAGAATTTTAAGGTGACATATTTATATATGTATGTTAAGGTTATGTACGATATTATTTCAAAATTTTTAAAAGTTTAGTAACTGCTTTAGTAACACAACTGATCCTCCTAACCATAACGGCAGTAAGTACCTTAGATACTGCACTTATTATTAGATAAATATCGTACTGCTAATTAATCTGGAAACTACATATTCAAAAACAAATTCATAATAATATATATAATAAATAACTGCTGTATCTGTTCAGTGACTGCAGTTTTTGCTAAAAATACACTTCATATTGACGCTATTTTCTAATGTTTTATACAGTCGAAACTCACAATTTGTTAGTATATTCTTACTAAACATCGACGTAAAGCGGCAGAATGCTGCATTGCTTGAGGTTTTGGAGAGTATCGGTGGCCTAATTTCCTCTCTTCACTTTTTATTTTCCTCTTTTCTCGCTTCCTTCTCTTCTGTGTTAGCAACGACTGAGTAATGCCACTGGTATTACAAGCGTACATGATAGGCTACGGTAAGAGTTCGAGTCCCACTGTTTGTTGTATACACAACTGCTTATTCAAGGAATAAATGATTTCTATTTCTGTTTCCAAGTCGGACATACTGTTAATTGGATTGGGAATATAAAGAGATGAGAAAATATAGTATTTTATATAGATATATTAATTTCGTACATTTATAAAATTAGAATAAAACAAAGAAAATGTATTATTTATTTGTTGAAATCCCAGATATATGAACCTTTAATCACATTTCGATTGACAATAAACAGTAGAAAAAAAAATCAAACCTTGCCTTATATTGAAATTAGTTAAAGTTTAGTCTCCTTATTACAATAACTTAGTTGAGTAACTAGAATTTGAGATCACGTTTCTTTATTAAAGAACTATATTATTATTATTATTATTATTAATGCTATGACGACTGCTATAACATTCAGTCTTCTCTGATTAATTATTTTACTTGAGATCAACTTTATATGTCAAAAATAACACTTTTTCACAAGTATTAGACGCACAGAGGAGTATTACACCTCAAACGTTGCACAAAATGATTTTGTGATTTTTATCGATTTGTCATGTAATAAAAAGCATTTTAAAGTCATTATATTGTACTAAAACACAGTCATAGTTTCCGTTGTATTGAAAATTAATTGCAAAAAATATTATATTAATGGGACACGTCTTCATAAGACCCATCGTCATCTAAGTTGATGTTGTACCTGCGGGACATTTTTATTTAAAAACATTATCAAGAGTTACGAAGTTTTAAGTTACACACAAAATCATAAGTTAACTAGGCTTAACTGATATATATATATAACCATGTGTGAATGTGGGGATTACAAAAAAAAAGTTATTTTTTATTGTGAAATGTATACGGTGAGAAATATCACTTTATCAAGTGCAATCCGGAAAATATAATTTTAAATACGAGAAAGTAAGTACGTAAGAGGAAGCTCTTCAATATTCATCAATAGGTATTACAAAACTTTCACCACACATAAACACAGAATTGGGTTGAAAGATTACGTTTAAACAGGAGCGCTGAAATTCCCGTTTAGTGTTGTAATGGTTACTAAGCTTTGTAGATGAATTTAACAAAATGTTTGAAATGGACTTTTGATCGATTTTTGCTTAGAAATACTCCTCTGTGCGATGTCTGATTGCCACTAGCTTAGAGACGTCTTCTTTCCAATTATAACTGCAGTCGGTATCTATACGAGTTATTACAGTTTTATTAGAATTGCAACTACAAAATGTTATAGATTTCCTTATAATAACTGCAGTATATAATAGATACTGCATTTATAATTAGCTCTAAGATGGTAGATTTTGTAAAACATAAATAAAATTAGTGCAGCAACTATTAGATACTGCGTTTATTGCTAGAATTCCATCGCATTCCATCAAATTTGACTCAAAAATATATAGTAACTAATCTTACTGCACTTTGAATTAGCAATTATATATTGTACTAAGTTATTGCAGTTTCACTTCCATGTATTACAGGGTTCACATGGGAATTTTGATACGTGAGGAAGAGCCAAATGTAGATCTTGTTTTGGTGTTAACGATTATGTATTTAACTCAATTTCGTCAAAAATGCTAGTTACTGCACTTTCCATTAGGACGGCAGAATTGTAGATTGCAGGTTTTGTGGTCTAAGTGACCGTCATTTACTTTTGCTGTTAATTGTACTTAGTGAGATCAAGATGCGATAGTTGTAGCTTCACATAAATTTTTTGTTAATATTTATATGTGGAAACTCATGAAATTTCAGAGAATTTTCAGAGTTTCAGAATTTGAAAATTTATTTAGTTTTCTAAGTGACAGTTTGTTTGTCAGTTCTCCGACAAGATATTAATTAATTAAAAAATAAATAGATGGCGCAGGCATCTTCAACTGCTAGAAGTCAACTGTGACAGCTTTCTAAGGACTGACAGGTGTCAGTGATGATGCGTGACAGTGGTGCGAGTTAGGGTGAAACAGATATGCTCAATCCAATATGAATTGTGGGGCAAATGATGTTCAAGATGGTAAAAGAGGGTTTGAGTTTCTCAAGTAAAATGGTCACCTACTTAAAATTGCAGCATTCAAAATGACATCGCCGATATATACATTTCTTCTCAAGATGAAACGAGAGATGAATAGATAAACAGATTTACAAAAGATACTTACAGAGACGTCCGTCAGCGACAAGTTTCGGCGCGACTATTTTGGACGGATATTTGCGTAGTTCGCTACTTAACATTTGTTACAAATACACTCGGGAGCAATGAATTTGGGTCGCCAACATAATATTATAATGCTAGTTTTTTAAAACAAAAGTATATTAGAAACAAATTTATTCAAACAAAAACTAAATTACGTAGGCTTCGTTAGACTGACACAAATATAAATTAGCAAAAGGCTATAACGTAAAAATCAATAATGCAATTGCTGTAAATTGAGGTCAGTGACAAGATTTATAAAAATATATTGCAATTGTACATACGTGACTTTGATCGATTGGTCAAGCATCATGTTTTCACCCAAATGAAAAATTTGTGTTGTACAAATACGATGGAACCCAAATATTATATTAATATTCCAGGAGATTGATCTAAGTTGGCTTGTATTGAAGAAAAAGTTGCATACACTAGCGGGCCGGTACTCGTGTAGGCTAGAATATCATGGAGCTGGTAGAAAACAACCATGAATAGCGAAAGACAGAGCGATGCCATGCGGGCGTTGCCGGTGTGTTAAATCGTTGCAATGCTATTATGATTTCAACGCACCGAGTGCCACAAGTGCAATGCGGTGTCGCAACGTAATGCCACTTACTTACGCACCGCCAGAGATAGGCAGCGGGTTAAAAGCTGGTCAACCCGCCCTGGTTTTAACCGGGTTTTTACCCAAAGCCCCGACGGGTTTATATCAATTCTGCCCAAAAACGTAGGCAAAACAATACCTACCTTGCAATCCTGTTAATTCACACTACTACAGTGGCACGTTACAATTC